TGTTTGCCTCAGTGGCTGCTCAGTGAAGAGCCTCCTCAGCGGTCCTGAACATAAGCTGTGCATGGATCTCTGGTCATGTATGGGGAGGTGGCTTTGTAGTCGCTCACTAACCTGCTTAACCTACTTTCTTCCTGCCGGTCTTTCATCTGTTCTGGGAGAGAAAAGTGCTCTAGGACAAATATGGCATACTTAACAACACACACAGTGTCCATCCAAGCACGGACGATGCCAGGCATTGTGATATTTCAGTATCCCCACCCTTAATGCATTGCTGATCATTTCCCAAATTAGAACCAGCTTTACACCGAACATGCTCTCCGCATGTTCGGCACATTAACCCGACTGGTAGAAAACGTGTGGGGACGCGCTTGAACCTTCATTGAGATGAATATGACCAAAATAATGACATTTTAAGATCTTAATTGTCCAATTTATGTAGACAGCTGTTGTGCTGCATTGCAATGCCAATTCAATTGCAGTTTCCTAGCAACGGGAGAGGTACAATACAGGGATTTTCTGTTAAGTGGCATCATTTCCTCTCAGCAAATCTAGACGGTATATTTGCTAAATAAATCTAAATCTGCAATGTGTGCAGACTTCTTCACCTTTATGCTAACGTCTCCGCAGATTTGACTGCTTCTAACGTCCTCATACGGCAGACAATCGCGACCACTTAGACTTCCATGTGGCTCCGGTCTCCATCTGTGCACCCTCGTGGTGTGTCAGTGGCTAATAAAATAGCTGTGTTGCTGCAAAGCATTTCAGTTGATTAATGTTCATCCAAAATGCTCCGTCCTGAGCTAATCATTGTACACACGTTCTTTTCAATTAATTAATTATCAAGGGAGTGAGAGAGAGGGGGACGGCTGGGGGAGGGGAAAGGAGAGTCAGGGGGACACAGAAAAAAAAATCCAATCCTGCTGGTCTGAAGTCTCAGAGCAATGAAGCATTAGTCTCTTCCTGATGTAATTGGAATGACAATAAGAGTAAAGCCCGCTGGTTTTGGGACAGCCTGTGGGCTTGATTTAATGCCCTCTACCAAAACGATACGTCCACCTTTTTATCTCTCTCTCTCTCCTTACCCTTTCCGCAGAACCCTCCGCTCTCCTCTGTGTTCCTCCCCCACCCTCATCTCGGTTTCCTGCTCTCCTCATTCACCAGCTACGGCCATACATCTCCATCTGTACTCTACTAAGAGAACAGAAGCTGCATTTTATCATATTTGAAGTCAGAAGGTTCTAAACAGAACACTTATTCAGCATTTTACTTACTCCGTACAGCATGGATGTGTTTTACTCTCACAGAGGTTAAGTTTTATTACTGAATAAATATCTCCAGAGAGGAGAGTTTCAATAGAAAGGGCAGAATGAGCAGGTGTATCCAGGCCAGGGTGCTGCATCTTCGGGGGTTCGCTGCTGCTCGGTCCAGATGGATGGCCGGGGCAATCCTCTTACCCCCATGTGTCTAGCTCCTCTTAATGCCGCGGTAGGTTGCATGGCTAATGTAAGGCAATGCGTGTTGGAAATGCGAATCTCATTCTAGTGAATGAAACGTATTTGTTAAATAACTGAGGAGATCTAAAAGCTGTGGACAGGCATTGAAATTCATAACCAGGATGCCTTTCATAGCTCAGCTAGCTCGTCACTGAGGGACCTCATATAAAGTCAGCTCAGCCCCCAAATAGGCTTTACTCTTTACGTGTTTTTGACAGAGTGATTTCATCCATCCTTGTCCAACAAAGATGAAGAAAGTGACTTTTTTAAAAGCCCCAACACTATTGAAATGTGTTATTCTAGACCACAAATCACAGCGCAGTCTTGCACCACTCACAAGCCGTATTGCAGCGTTTACGAGTCGCCTAAACTGTCCTGAAAGTCGTTATAGATGTCGTGCCAGACTGAGACATTTAGTGGCTGTACAATGAACCTGTAAAAAAAGGAAGCCTTCGGTTATGAAGACCGAGTGCCCCCCTTCTGTTGCTGAAACCCCAGTGTTCTGCAGTCTTTTCATGCCTCTCATATGGATTTGGGTTCCACTACTGCCATGATATATAATAAATGTATCTACTGTCAGAGATTTATGTGGCACCCACTCATTCTGATCTCTTTATTAAGCATTGTGGGTAACATTGTAAATCACTCGAATACTTTATTTATGACAAAATGCATCATTTATTTATGTTACCTGGTACCGCTCAATGATATATTGAATGAATATTAGTTTCCTTATCAATCCACCACTTTTGTCCGGACTATTGACATGAGATTGTACACCGTCCTTCCTGGTCCGCAGAGGTTACTGACTTGTTCCATCTACAATCAAATACCTACAAAACTAACTAGTGATAATAGAAGCTTGCATATACGACGGGATTGTCAACATATCGACCCCTATAGTCAAACCCTCGATCCTCAAACTTACTACAGAATACGTATTGTATATTTTGATGATCTATTTTTGTCTGGAAAACATTTCAAGCTCAAACTTTTACACAAATTACGACAAAAAATAAATAAATGTATGTCGTGACATCTCTCGTGTTCAAAGGTATCTGATGTATGGGACCGATTTGTGTAAATAATTACATTAGCAAACAGTTTAACTGTTCCGTTATTTATAACCTATGCAGCTCAAACTATGATTCACTCAATTATTCCTAAATAGGTTTTGTATTGATTTATCTTTCTCTCACATGTCTGGATTAACTGCAAATAATCAATATTCTCACAGAAGAGTTTCCAGGCGTTGATACAGCCAATGGCTGCGATCTAGTACTCTGAGGGGAATGCAGTGAATGTGGAATACATAACAGTCAAATCATACACATGTACACGTGTGTGCATGTGTGCTGCTTGGTATGCAGACGGCGTCGTTGCTGCCTGTAGCCGTACGACGGCATCCCCGGGTCAAGCAATTACCACACATCAAGCAAAGCAATTGGGCGTGACTAAAATATCATCGCCATGTGATCGCGTCCCCATGTTTGGGCTGTTGGAGCCTAATTTAACCCACTTTGTCCGTACGATCGAGGAGAATTGGGGACACGCTCTCCAATTCTGATGCCCCCCCCCCGCCCAGAGCATTTCCCAAACCTGACACACAGCAGCTGGGCAGCAGACGCGCCGTGACTGGTCTCCTATAGCCACCGGAGTGGTGGATGGGGCGTGCCGATTAAGATAAGTGACGCAGCAGAGGAGTACAAGTGACTGAGGGGGAAGAGAAAGTTACGTTAAACAAGCCTCGGGGTGCAGAAACGTGAGGCTTTTGGAGGGGAAGTGTCTCAGACCGTATCGACTCACTTATCAGGTCACGTGAATTGATTTGAGAGTAAATGATTTTCCGGTCATGGTTGTTGCTCTGAGATGCCTGCCTTGAGTGTATGAACCAGTGTGGTCACATTTCTACTTGGCAGGAAAGGCAGGAGAGAGAAGTGGGAGGGTTATGGGGCAAAGAGATTGCTATATATGCACTGGGAATAGGCGAGAGTCAGGGAGGGAGGGGGGGGGGGGCGGTGATTGAGCCCATGGGCTGTGGCTCCGAGCAGCATTTTCCACTTTTCTCATTATACAGTCAAATATCGCGGTGCCTTTAGTTGCCACCCCAGCCCTTCCTCTTTCTATCCCTCCTCCTCATGCCCCCCTCCACCCCCCCCATCGCCTCCCAACAACATCGGTGACAAAGGTGAACATCTCCTCCATGCAGCTTCATTCCGCTAAATCCATTGTCTTCATTCTGATTTCATTGAGATTTCATCCGGTCTCGGCCTCAGTCTTTGGCGTGAGAGGGACGCTCTATGCTTCTTTTGTCCTTCTGAAGCCTGTTAAAATATTGATAGAGATGGGAACCACCGCTGACCGCTCAGTCATATCGGAGTGGGTCAAGGATGGCAGAACTTCCCGGCAGATATGAACGCATGGGAATAGCAGGGCCTCGCAAACGCTCGAGCAACCTTCATAACCCCGCTGAATGGAAAACGCCCTGTACTGTATTCCAATGCAGATGAGGGTTGGAGGGTGATGGGGTGTAAAAGGGCATGCGGGAAGGACCTGTTTTTTTGCCTTCACAGCCAGATACCCATTAGTACAGGAGCAGAGGATTGGATGTGCAAATGGTCTCTTGGATTAGAGAGCTAATGCATTTAGGAGAGGGTGCTCCACAATCTCTTTATTGCCACTGTGGTGTACGCGTGTGAGTGTGTGAGTGTGTGCGTTGGGGCTCGTGCAGGGGAGATACCCTGTCCCTTTGTGGGCCTTAAGCTATTTAGGGTAAAGTGAGTAGATAAGGGCAGCGATGCAACACACACACACACACACACACACACACACACTCATCAAAGCCTACGGTCTGACCAGAAGAAGGCTTGTTCTGTGTGCGGTTATTAAAACAGCATGGAAATGAGATCTTTCCAGTAAGAGGCGCAGACGGGCGGACCTGCTAATCTAATTAATCAGCGTCTGGGATTTCTCATTTTCTTCTGTCCTCTTTTCTGTCCCTCTTTGTTGCTCACAGTCTTCTCCCTTACGCGACTCATCCTCGCCGCCTCCCTCCTTTGTGTGCGTCTCTCTTCTCTGAATCTGAACTTCACGTGCCATCTCCTCCGGGCAGTATAGTGTGTCTGTGCATCGCTTCCATTAACACACCTTTTATGTAAAGCCTCTGTTGTCCTCTTTGCATAAAGTGTCCCAGTGCTCAATCTGCTGTGAGGATGCATGGATGTCCTCTGCACGCAGGATGCAGGGCGGGTGATGCAGGATCTCTCTGGCTTTGGAAGCAACCTGCTATCAGGCCTGAAAGAAGCTGTCGGCTTTACACGCTCGACCCTCGTGGAAGGTGGTAATCAAGCTGCGACTGTGAACTCTTCCTCTCTTCCGGTGGTGAGAGAGAGCGAGAGAGAGAGAGAGAGAGAGAGAGAGAGAGAGAGAGAGCGTCACATTTGCTGCTGGTGCTTTTCTGTTGTTGTTAAAGAGCCAGCCACCGGCAGCATGGGAGGGGCCCTCAGCGCAGCGCACCGGGTAACTACAGTACGAGCGCTGCTCTGCGCACACTGAGTCAGCTGAGCTGCCGGGGATCACACACACACACACACACGCACACACACACGCGCGCGCGCGCCGGTGAATGAATGGAGGAGAGAGAGGAGACCGCGCAGTGTTCGGAGACGACGGAGACGGAGAAGGAGCTCGGTGCTACTCTGGGGATGACGCGCGGAGCGGAGAGGCTCACATGGAAGTGGTGAAGTGATCCGAGCAAGCTTGTTGACGCATAATCCCGCCCGCCCCGCTGGCACTGGGAGGGGGCAAATCTAGCCTCCCTAAACTCAAATCCTCCAATAGAGGATTGCGAAGTGCGCTGCTGCTGTGGGTTCAGCCACCTTCTCTTTGACCGGCTATGTTGGGAAAATCCGCATAGTTTTTTTTTTTTTATATATATATATTTTGGTGTGATTCGTATACATCTCTGAAGAAGGGGACCCAATCGGCTACCTTTATTAGAATCTATCATCTGGAATCACTGTCACTGCGTCGCGGACGGTGGCCAGTTGGATGCGCCCTGAGGTGCGGACAGGACCTGCCCGTACATCATCATCATCATCATCATCATAATCATCATCATCATCGCAGGTATTTGATTGTGACTGTTGATTACACCGGAGATCTGGAGCCATGACAGGCCCCCCGCTGGTCCTACAGCCCGCCTGCTGACGGTACCGGGCAGGATGGGAGCAGATCTGCCGGTTTCAGGATCCCGAACGAGCCGATTTATCAATGGAGGAAGAGAGTGACACCCGGAAAATCAACAACAGCTTCCTTCGTGACCACAACTATGCAACCGAAGGTATTTAAACAGATCACGTTGGGTAGAGAGAGAGAGAGAGAGATACACGTTAAGCTCTTTTACCGGCACATACAAAAATAACCCGAGTGTGCAGAGATGCCAATATCACAGCAGAAATGAGGCACGGCAAAGGAAGATAAAAATATATATATTGAGAAAATATCATATTGGCTCAGACAAATGGCTTGGGTGATCCAATAAATAGATTATATATAGCAACGATTTGGCCCATAAAGTGCATAGATGCGCATTTAATCACGTCAGAAACATCAATCGGATATGGGAGTGTCACAGGAATATTCCGGTCGTGTGCTTGTAACAGCGTGTGGTGTCAAAGCAGGAGATGATGATGTGGCTGCTCGTCATGCCTGCTATTTTAAGAGGACAATCCTGACCGAGGGGGAATCATTGCTTTAATCTGCGTGGACGATGAGAAGCAATTCGTTTAAAGCGTCCCGGACAGCTGCTTCGGCTGCTGCTGGCTATATAATATGTGATCAGACCGAAATGTTGCATTATTGATGGAAGGAATGTGTTTTCACTTGTTGAAATAATTAGACGGAGAAGGTGCCCTAATTTCAAGGAGCAGTCTCTCCACAGGCTTATGACTGCTTTGAACAATAGCTTTTTTTCTGTGTGTGTGTGTGTGTGTGTGTGTGTGTGTGTGTGTGTGTGTGTGTGTGTGTGTATCCACCTCGTTGACCATCAGCCCTTTTATCAACTAATTGATGCAAAATAGTCAGCTCCACCTCTGTCTCATAAGATGTTAATTCCTTTTAATCGTTGATTTACCAATAACACTGTCATTAATCTGACGCGAGTGCATGTTGGAGGAGAGACAAAGTCAAAGCTCAGAAGACAGCAAGTCTTATTTTCACATGCAGCTGCTTTCCTCAGTGTTTCTTTTTTTTCTTCATTTAAATATGGGAGAGTCCCATCATTTGCTCCGCTCCTGCTCAGATGATTTCCTGTCACTGCTAAAGACACAGGAGTGAAGTGGGGGGTGGGTTTGGGTGTGATGGATAGCTTTGTTTGATGTGTGAGCTGAGATGAAGAACAGGAGGGGATCTTCCTCTGCCAGCTTCCTCCCGTCGCTCCGTTTCGCTCTCTCATACATTCAGGAGAAACGAGAGTTAGCAAGGGCGTAAAACGCGTCTCTTAAAAGCAAAGGACTGTCTGGTCTGCGGCCCATCTGCGCTTTTCAAACAAGGAACATCTACTTTTGTTATTTTTTTATTGCTGTAATTTACGACGGATTGTCACACCTCACATGCATTCGTGTGTGTGTGTGTGTGTGTTGTGTGCGTGCGAGAGCCCATTCACACTCGCTTCCTGTCTCCCAAAGTGGTATGAAGTCACTCTAAAGTCAAAGGTCCACATACCAGTGTGTCCTCATAAATTCACCAAAGTGCTCCATAAGGCCCGGACCGTTCCGACCACACGCACACACACACACAGACACACACACACACGCATACACATACAGGTCCCAGAGGCGGCGGTGGTAGGGATTTCCCTCGGGCCCGGCTTGCCCATAACAGCAGGACACTTTAATGATGTCACATTGTAATGATGTCACTCGGGGTAACCTTTGGTTTGCACCAATCGCACACCCGCGTTGGTCTGTGAGCGGCTACATCGACTCGGTGTGTATGGGCACACGTTGTGGGTAAAGCTGTGCTGGTCATCCATAGTATTAAAGTAAAACGTATTCTCAACCTCAATGCATACATTCACTGTTGTAGATGAAAGAAAATGCCAATGCAGTCGGATTTCACCAGCAGCCTGCAGATGACAAATTGCTAATAGTGAAAAAATGGATGGTGTGTGTCTCATTGCAGCTTTGTGTATCAGCGTGTGTTGAGTCAATGGACCGTTACGCTGCTACAACATGCATCTCGGCTAATATTCATAATCTGCACCCTGGATGTTCCTTTAATGGGTGAAATTGTCAAACAGCACAGCGCCACTCGGGGTGCAGGGATGTAAATAGCTTCCTCGCTGTGAGGCAGGACCCGACCTAATGTCTGCTTTGGTATTGATTTCTGGTCCTCTACAATTTAGCTACCGGAACAATGGCCTAAAGATCTATTGGTAGGACATGTAATCTCTTCCACCTTCTCCCCCCACCCGCCCCCCCCCTCTCTTTTCTCTCATTTTCTCTCACTGCGTATATGTCTGTTTGATGCAAGTACAAGCTTGTGTGTGACCCCTCTAAACCCCCTGAATACTGATGCAGTCCCGTAACATAGAGCTCACAGCCTTTACTGCAGCTGCTGATGAGAGCAGAGCACCGCCTATGGTTGCCTGTGCCAAGGCAAACGGCCTGGGGCCACACTTTAGGACCCCGGCATAAAAAGATTTAGCCCAGCATACCCCCAGGTCCCATCCATTATTCACTGCGAAACACTCAAAACGCCGAACCCCGCCACGGCACATAGCGCAAGAAAGATAATGCCCCCGTGTGTGCATGGGGGTAGGGTCGGGGGAGGGGGGGGGGGGGTGCTTAATGGCAAGCTGTGAAGTTGGGGCGAGTCGCCCTCTTTATTCAGCAGCTGCTTTCATCCCCTGATTAGCTTCTTATTAAGTCTGCAGCTCGATGAAATTTTAATGAGGATTTAATAAAGAAAACCGGCGGTGTTCGTACTGTAGAACAATCATCCCAAAAAATATCCTATTCTTTCAAACGTCTTTTCAGTGCTTTAAGTTATTGCTGTGACGGATGTACTGCAACAAGAGTCCTTTGGTGCAGTGCCAGCCTGAAGGGTAAGCAGCGCTTGACCCCTCTGGACTTACATTTGTAAGTTTTGATAGCTAATTCCTGCGTCCCGTCGAAGAAGCAGTGTCTCTCGGACTCTTTCATGCTTCGGTGAACGGGTCACTGCAGATACACGATTCCACTCTGTACAGCAGGCGTCTAATGTTTGATTCACTACAGCCTTGACAACAAGCAAGATGAAAGGGATTGCACCAAAGCAACACAGACAGATAGAGAGGGAAGAGACAGCTTTTGTTTTGGTGCTGGATTATAATTCAATGCACCCCCGCTTCCTTGCACCATCCCCCTCCTACATCTTCAATTTCTAAGAGAATACCAAATACCAAGCATTTGGAACAACCTCACTTGGTATTCATGTAAGCGCATGCAGGAATCGATCGCCAAGTTCACCGCTGTTCACCACTTCTTCTCGTCTTGCCCCGTCCCGTCCTGTGTCCGTAGTCACATGTGTGACCGCGCTGATGTGTTAATGAAGTGTGAGAAGTGAGGCAGTAACACGTCTCGCCCATTTCACCCTCAACTCCCTGGAGTGTGGCGATACAGAAAAGCCCACACACAAAAGAGAGACTATACAGACACACACACACACACACACACACATTTGGTCTCATTCCCAAGGGGCTGATCCTAGAGAAACCAGGTTAATTAGCTTGTTCACTCCAGATCTTACAAAGAATCATGCTCTTAAGATGATGAGGGCTGAAATTGTGCTCTGTTGCTTTGTGTGCTGCTAATAAACCCTTAATCATATGGCTTGACAATGGACCAGAAGGTAACAGGGTTTTTTTTCTCCAAAATTTCGATTGATGTACATTGTTAGTGGTGTGAAAGAAGCCGTCATCAGTCGCCTATTCAGCACGGAAAGGGTGAATTAAATTTCTGATACGCGCGTGTTCATGTTCCAAAAAAAAGACAAAGTGCAGATTGATTCATACTGTTGGTTATCATGGGAGGCACGAGGGCGGCGAGTTAAAGGAAGTGCGAGAATGGACCTGAATCTTCCCCCGGCCTGATCCTTTGACGCAGGCGGCGCAGCACAAGTTCTGTAATCCTCTCCTCTCCGTGTCTACCGCTAACAAAGCATTTACACGACACCGTGTTGCTCACCTCCCTGCCACCTGGAATTATTGCAAAGCACTTACGCAACTAGCTTTCCATTCAGTCACACCGCTTTTGGCGTGACTTGCCTGCGCAAACCTCCAATGCCACAGGATCAAGCCTCAGTTTGTTTATTTGTTGACGGGATTACATGTTGTCTAGAGGTTAGCCAGGCGGCTCCTATTTCGGTCTTTCCTGCCGTCTGTACTCGGGAGACACACTGTTCTCTGCGATCATTTACCTCCCCAGACTTCCCCCTCCCCCCCTCCCCTCCTTTCTTTTAGTCGCCCTTTCTGTTATGCGTGATAGATGTTGCATGCACGGGCTTCTATAAATACATTTAATAACCTCTCTTTCCCCGCCTCCTCCATGCGCGGTTTCCATTCCAGAATCAATGCATATCTATGTTTCCATGCAACGGGTTCGAGCCTCGATTCTATATCGCATGCCGAAGGGGAGTTATTGAGGGTCAGATGGGTGAAACAGACATGAACCTGTGTTATTTCAGTCGTCTATTCTCGGTTGTGCGCAGACACACACACATACACACACATCAGAGCAGCTGGCTTGTCTGTGTTATTACTGGGGATGGATGTGTGTTATCTCGAGCATCGAGAAGCGCTGACCTGTCTGTGTCAGACCTGGCTGGCCGCAGGATTTATGGGCCTCATCTGGTTATGGCTGCTGATGCGGCGTGTGTGTGCGTAAACGTGTGTAAGTACACGTCTGATCAGCCGAATCACCAACCTGCTGCTACTATCAGTCCACTTCGAACCTGCGGTTGCTCATGTAGGGAGAATCGGATCTGGTGCAAGCGGAAATCCCCTTTAATGAAAGTTTATCTGATAACAGTGTACGTTGTCACTTGTAACAAAGTAACTGAGGTTTAATAGATTGCAATGTCTGCTTTGAATAAATTAGCACGAGGAAAATCTCATTCAGGGAAGCATTCCATCACGTTGCTCTGCGTTTCAGCTTCGCTGGCTCCAACCGATTCTTCATCCAGCGAGATGATTGAAGTATGTATCCGTGTGTAAACTCGTTAACCGGCACCCATCAATTACTGTTTCTCCTCAGTGACTTAATGGGTTGATGATGAGAAGAGAGGGGAAAGACAAAAAAAAAGTACGAAGGACAAACCGGGAGCGAGAGAAAGAGAAGAGACAATTCAAGAATGCTGACTGCAAAGCTGACTCCATTCGACTCACATCAGTGGCTTCGGCTTGATGGTGTTGGAAATGAATTTTGTGTGTGTGTGTGTGTCCTGGAGTGAGTGGTTGGAGGGGGGGGGGGGGGGACTCCACATATCTGTGCACGCAGACACAGAAAGGGAGATAACTACAGCGTCAGTGTGTGCCACATACATATGGTGTGTCGGTGGGCTTCTCCGTGGATGTAATTAGGTCAGAGTGTGTCTTGTCTGTGAAACATTATTCAGGCGTGATTAGGATCCGATCAGCCACACCCCTCCCGACCCCACACACACCTCACGCCATTATCAGCACGTTGACGTGAGAATCCCTCTGGTGCTTTCTCGTCAACAATTAAATGAAACCAGGGAAAGACACACACACACACACACACACATACTCATATATTTGAAGTTATTCCCACCATGCACAGCGCGATGGGCTCATTTCTTCATGTGAGGAGATGAGCCCATCTTAAGGGACTCTACTGTCGTTGTGTGTCTGCGTTGAACATCACGCAGCCCCCCAGATGCAGTTGCAGGGTTTCATTTTATTGCAGCACTCGCTCTGTCTGCTGAATTACAGCAGGCATCAGCAACTTAGTCTGAGAGCTATTGGCACTGGCGCGCGCATGTAGCCCTCCGACTGCCGCTAGAGATGGAAACCGTCTCCATGGCAACGTTCCCCTCTCCTGTTCAGCGCTCCGCCAGTAGCAGGTCCACAGAGGGCGTGGGGGCTACAAAAAAAACTCCATCTCTTTCTCTCTCTGTCTGTGTAATATTAATGTCACTGATAAACAGAGGGGTAGACTCTGCTGTGGTGTGTGTGTGTGTGTGTGTGTGTGTGTGTGTGTGTGTGTGTGTGTGTGTGTGAATGTGACAGCCATTGTGCGATGCCTCTAAAGCCCGAGGCTGTATAATAATTACAGTCACCATTAGCCTCTCCTAAATCCAGGCAGATGTATGTCTTTGAGAAGGAGATAAAGAGCTACCTTAAGGAGAGGTGTCAGTTAGTTACTACTGGAGGAACTGGAGCTATGCAGGGACATTGAATAATATTGGCAATCAAGTATAAATGGTTCAAATACATCATATTGCTCCTATATATTTGTTGCTCCTTTGACTGCACTGCATAGATTGAAAGTAAAAAAAAAAGTTTGCCACACAAATATAGACATACTGTAGATCAGCTGCAGAATTTGAATGCTTTCAAGGTTTATGTTTTCTAATGAAGGAGCTGGAGAGTCACTGAGCAGCATGGGCTCTCGCTGCCGGGAGGAGGGAGGTGAATGGTATTATTACTGCAGCAGCAGCGTCCTTTTAAAAATCAGAAGTTCAATTAAATGACACAAATTGGCTCACTTGAGTCAGACGAGGGACGGGGGGGTGATTAGTTGATATCATGCAGTGTGACTCATTCAGTTGTGTCTCCTAACCCATATTACGCCAAAACTAGGGTATCTGTGCTGGAGAGTCCTCTGTGATTCGGTCACAAGATTCCCACTTCCTTACTCTGACGTGCTTTTTCCAGAAATCACTCTACCGCATCTCCCCGAAAGGTCTTTCTTTCTGTCTGACTGATACCTTGACAGCGTTGTGTACATGCACACTGACATTTTCTCTCCCTCTCTGCTCTGCTTCCTGTGTTGCAGCTGACATTATCTCAACGGTTGAGTTTAACTCATCGGGGGAGCTGTTGGCCACCGGGGATAAGGGAGGCAGAGTGGTTGTCTTCCAGAGGGAGCAGGAGGTAGGACATGCCAACAATGCAACACTAATTATGCTTCCCTTCTGCTAAGAGGATTTAACAGCTTTGGAACATTCAAGTAAAAATGTTTGCTTTTAGATAACAGGCTAATAAATTGTTTCATTTGAAAAGGATACCGAGCTGTAAATTCTACAGTAAATATTTAAAAACCACTTCATCAATCTCTTTGAGAGATAAGAGGCTTTTTGGGGGCCATTGTTTCAAACGTGTGTTACATGGAGGGGCATAGTTTAAAACCACCTAAAAAGATTCTGATTTCCAGCTACAAGGCCAATGTTTCTAATGAAACCAAATACTTCATGCTGAACTACAGATAAATATGTGCGCATAGTGCATTGTGTCAAATTTAATTTAATAAAGCCATAAAAATAAAAAATCTCAGAACTGGCTGTTGATTGAGTTATAAATATTTGATAATACTGTTGCTACCATGGAGTTCTAGAACAAACAAATAAGCATATTGAAAACAAAGCATAGATACAGTATACGTATGTTTATGCCTGTGGCTTCGTGGGGCCGCACTGACAGCAGCATGCACACACACACTCACAGTGACCAAATAAAATATTTACCATATTCACCACCAACTAGTTTTGTATGTTAATATGTAATGTTAAGACGAGATTGTAAATTGCAATGCTATTTTTTTCTGTCAAATATTGTACATCTTGTTAAGAAATTACAGTCACACATTTGTGCAAACTAACATTTAACCTAACAGAGACAACAGCAAGCAGGTCAATCTCTTACTATGTTTCCCTTCTTGCAGAGTAAGAGTCAGCCCCAGCGTCGAGGGGAGTACAATGTTTACAGCACATTCCAGAGCCACGAGCCAGAGTTTGACTACCTGAAGAGTTTGGAGATTGAGGAGAAGATCAACAAGATCAAATGGCTTCCTCAGCAGAACGCCGCCTACTTCCTGCTCTCCACCAACGGTCAGTCAGTTTCTGTGATAAAAAATGGTCAGCGAGACCATTAATCGGTCGTGAGTGGGTGTTCAGACGTGGGCAGAATGTTGTTGTTACTTAATAACATTGTCAAGTAAAGGCGTGATTCATTTCTCGCTGGTTAGAAATACAGCTGATGGGAACGATGTTACTAATATCGCATGAAAATGTCTTTTTTCTGTGACTGTATTGGGGTTTCGCTTGGCTGAGCAAGTGCCACCAGCAGGAGCGTTTCAAATTGAGAACTTCATGCATGGCTGCCACAGCAGGGATACACACACAAAGACACACACACACACACATATCAAAGCATGTGCCACCACACGTCCTACATGCACGCCAGCGCCAACAGACACACACATCAGGGAGAAAGACGTCTTGCAGATTGTGGGCTTCATGCATGGCTGCTACAGAAGTGCTAGTGGTGGCTGGAGCAGATGGTGGAGAGTCCTGTGGCGATGGCCTCGCTGCTCCAACACCAATATTCATAGCGGAAATTTAAAAATAAAAAAAAGAGGGCAACAACCTGACTGCTGCCGGCGCCATCCCCCCCCCCCCCTCTCTCGACAGACCGAGAAGACGGGATGTAACTGGTGTTTGTGTGCTGCAGAACGGAATATCGCCCAGATGGCTTTTTCTGGGAAAGCGTATCGTGCTGCCTGGAAATTTCGTCAACATGTAGATTGATATCAGTGACATCAGAATGTACACAGGAGCCGCCATTCATCATTCCCGCTGGCTCCTGACCAGATACGTGCCAGCCGGCGCCCAACCCCCTGCGTCCATCTTCTATCTGAGATTCACTCTAGTGAGCCATGATCTAACTGTCTTTCTGTTTGTGTGTGTATCTTTGTGTGTGTGTGTGTGTATGTTTGTGTGATGTATCCATTCCAGACAAGACGGTGAAGCTGTGGAAAATCAGCGAGAGAGACAAGCGTCCGGAGGGCTACAACCTGAAGGACGACGATGGACGGATCAGAGACCCATCGACAATCACCTCATTACGGGTAAAGAGTTCACTCAAAACTACACAATACTACCAACATTTTTAGAAAAGTCCAAATTAACTTTAAATAGAAACCAAAACAAAACAAGCTACAGTCTGATGTCCATAAGCATCGCCCCCATCTGGGTGGTGAATTGTGTTACCTCTGGAAAAGCCGCTTCCTTCGTGTCAAGTCTCAATGCTAAGCTAAGCTAACTGTCTGTCATCATTTATTTTATGAACACCTGCTTCTTAAGCAGCGATATGTCAAAATGTGTTCTATGACAAAGGTCTGTCATCAATTTACACCTTGAACAGTCCAAACACGTAAAGCTTGGATAGTCTGATGAAATGAACAAAGAGCATTCAGTCATTACGCTGTGATAGCCAAAGATAGATAAAGGCTAGATGTCTTACGGCGGCGTCTAGAACGTCTGCACATGGCGGCCATTTTGCCACAGTCAGCTCGCTCACCCATAACATTGTGTTGGTAGTGGTACTTTTGTACTTTTTAAATAAATGCTGAACTTTGAAATCCCCACCCTGTACAGAGATCTATTTATGACACTGCATACTTATGAATAATTATAATTATAACCATGTGTCATGAAAATATTAACTATTAAACAGAACAGATAGGTGTAATAAATACACACATGCACAAAGTATTTATGTTAAATCAATATATAGGCTTCTAAAACGGCATACAGCATACAGAATGGCAACATGAGATATATGTATACTTTTATTATAGGAATATTACTAATATAATAAAATGTTTGTTGCAGCATTTCTTGATGTATATTTGTAAAGGGAAATATTGTACCGAATTTAGAACATTTTTCTATTTTTTAGGACATAATTATTCGTAAGTATGCAGTGTCATCTGACGTTTATAACAAACCAAACCGTTTAATAATCGGTTGAAAATTGAACAATTTATGGTCATTTAAAAAGTACATGTACCACTACCAACACAACCCTATGGGTGAGTGAGCTCACTGTAGCAAGATGGCTGCCATTTTTGGACGTTCGACTCGGACGAGACATCTAGCCTTTATATATATATATATATATATATATATATATATATATATATATGGTGACAGCCTTCAGTCTGACATAAACTTCTGAGCAAAGCATTCTCTCTGACTACACTGCATCTGCTAAAGTTCACACGGTTTTCCCTGTTATAAGTTCTCACTTTCAATACTAATACTCACACCAACAAGCACACGATCGATGGACAATTTCGAATCTGGCGGAAGAAAGTCAGAATGACTGATCGATATGTTCACTGAGGTGAAGACCACAAAGGGATCATCTTTTCTCTCTTACCCCCCCCTTATCTCAGTCTTGTCCCTCCACTACGTATTTAATTTTCACACAAAGCAGACAGGCACGTAGCAAAGGGTGTGTGTGCATATGTGTGTGTTTGTGTGCGTCTGCCATAGTAGATTAGTGCTGTGTTCGGCGTGTCTGTCCCTCTTTGTCTGGCCGGCCAGGGGATCATAGCAACCTGGAGGACAGGCCGGGACTGTGGCAATCCTGTTTAGAGGCTGTGAAATCTGCGCCTTGCTGGAGGGGTGGGGGGAGAGAAAAAAGAATATCATTCCAAAACGTAGCCAAGTGAACAAACCATAAAACCTCTTTGTTTGCATCATGTAAAGTCTATGAGCCAATATCACCTTTAAAAAGAATTATGCGCTTCTTATTTATTTCTTCGATTGCTGCTTTTAAAAAAAGGGAATGTGCCTCAACACGGTCGTGAACAGATTTGTTACTCTTTCAAGCAGAAATATATCTCAAATTAAAATATTTGGTAGGGAGGAGAATTTATGAGGTCCTTTCAAAAGGTGCAGGAGCCAGCTGAACCGTGTAACTGTCAGTGTTGAGGGGTTACGGGTTAATACGGTCTGTGTCTCTCTGGACCGCCGGTGAAAGACATGGAAATGAAGTGACACCCATGGAGATACAGCAGCCCGCTGGGCCGCCATGTCTTTCTGTCGGTGCCAGCAACGAGAAGAAAAAGGGGAGAAGCAGTTGATTTGTTCTCCTCTCTCGCTCCCCTCCCTCGTCTCTTTGTCTGTGTTTTATCTGGCCAACGGGGGGCTGCATGCAGACTGGGGCTGGGAGGCTTTGAAGCCCGAGCAGTATTGTGCATGTGGGTGTGTGTATTCGTGTGTGTGTGTTTGCGTGCTCATCTTAATTCTGCAGAGTTCAGTTATCATTCCTCAGCAGGGCCTATCAATGCCCTCGGGCCATCTCTCTTTCCCCCTCCTTCGCTTTTTTTACTGTTTTCTTGCCTTTCATTACATGCAAACAAGCGAGCGGGAGTGTCTTCTGCACTTTCATGAGAGCAAGAGGGACGGAGGGAGGAAAAGACGGAGAAAGGCGTTATCTCCCAGAGTAGCCATGTAGAAAACAGATATTCGCAGTCTGATTGAACCAGCTCATCAAACAGCCTCTGAGCCCCTCGGTCACTGTCTCTGTTTCATTTAGATTTGTGGAGTAAATGTCATGTGAGTCCCTGGAGTCATCTGTTGTTTGAACACACACACACACATTTCACATATTCACACACACAAAAGATTCATGCCCACCAGGTGCATTTACATCTGCACATCTGCAAATAAATATTGAGGAAGATCTCAATTATACCAGCATCAATGTACAAAAGATACCGAATGAGTTTTATAAAACCTACCAGAGCTTTTATCAGAAGCTTTCTTGCATACTCTTCAGTGTTTCTTCTCTTCTCTCCGGACTAACTGATCTTTTCCTGACCAATAGGTGCCGGTCCTGCAGCCCATGGACTTGATGGTTGAGGCCACAGCCAGGCGTGTGTTCAGCAACGCTCACACTTACCACATCAACTCCATCTCGGTCAACTCCGACCTCCAGACATACATCTCTACCGACGACCTGAGGGTGAACCTCTGGAACCTGGAGATCACTGACCGCAGCTTCAGTATCCTCTAACTCGGGTCATTTAAGAACAAAGCATGTGGGCGGGGAAAAGAGGATGAAAATTCACCATGTTATTTGAATCTAGTGTCGGCTGAATGGTCGCAGTCTCAGGGCTCAAAGGGGCAGTTGTTCCTTAGTGCGTGTCTCTCAGACATCGTTGACATCAAGCCAGCCAACATGGAGGAGCTGACGGAGGTGATCACTTCAGCAGAGTTTCATCCCCAGCAGTGTCACACCTTTGCCTACAGCAGCAGCAAGGGCTCGATACGCCTCTGTGACATGAGGGAGGCCGCGCTCTGCGACAGACACTGCAAATGTGAGTACAGGTAGAGCGCAATAAGAGGATCAATAGTTGCATTAATCGATTGGATTTCATGTGAAAAGATTCGATAAGGTTAACTATTGCTTTTATATTTTATGGAGCCATTTATTGTTTTGTATTTTTTGGCATCTATCATCTAAATGTTGCTTCAAAGGCTTCCGTGTTGCAAACGCCCGCATTGAATTTCTCTTCCTGGTCCAACTCAAACTGTGTTGAATTGGCCAACAGAATCCCTTTATTTCAATAACGGTCTCATTCAGTCTAAAAAACGTTAGAGCCGTTCTTCTGAAACTCACTTAGTGTCATTTGAGTTTCATTCTAATGCAACTCCCTTTTTCTGGCTATCTAATTCCCCCCGAAAAAGAACATTAACTCAGTGAAGCTGATCAGTAGTAGTATAAGAAGGATTAGCTCCAAGCGAACCAGGAGGGTGGAAACAGAACACAGTGCTGGATCTAAATTAGTATATTCATGAGAGTGATGGAAGGGGGAGGACAGAAAGACTTACAGTTCAACATGTCGGCACCCCGGCTGCAAATTCACCCTCTTTTTGTTTCTGCTTGAGCTCCACCTTTGTGTGGCTCAACACGCCCGGATTGATAACCCATCAATAACCCTCAAACAATGAATGGCCTTCTCTAAAGCTTAGCATTGCCAGCGTACGCCTTGGTCAAATGAATAATGAATACATTGACATTCTCTCGGAAGAAATCAATGGCTTAAGAGCAATCGCATTAGTCCCTCGTGGACACACCCTGTTGTTCAATAACGTCAGTCAAGTCCTCGGACACGTCGGCGTGTTCACTGGACCGTGCGCTGACATGGCCTGTTGAATTTCCCATGAGCATTTATGTGAAGTTGAAACAAGTAAATCTTTTGGTTTTCATTGGTGTTCATTTTAAGTTTTGGTATTTATAGCTATTCTCATACTGACATTAAAGTGCCATTAGATGCTTGTAGTGCGCGCGCGCACACACAAACACACACACAGGGAGCAGGCAGGTGCTCTCGTTGGCCTCAGGACACCGTCGGCTGATACCGACCTACTGTCTCACTCCCCGAACGCTGTTTGGCTCAGAGCGATGTATTATTCTGTCCCTCCCACGCATTCTGTCAAGAACACAGCTTCTCCTTCCCTTGACACACACACACACACACACACACACACACACACACACACACACAAACACACACACACACAAAACTTCCTGAACCTTCAACATTAAATACACCAAAAAAATCACATCTCCTCCCAAACCTGTAAACCTGGAAGGCTGCTGTCATCAGTCAGCGTTAGACTGCGGATGGACGGAGGGATGGACGGAGGGATAGACGGAGGGATGGACGGAGGGATGGACGGAGGGATGGACGGAGGGATAGACGGAGGGATGGACGGAGGAACAGGGAAAGATTGCCAAAGCTCTGAGCCCCAGGACAGAAAGAGACGGTCCAATGCCGGCTCCCCGGGGACCCTATTATACACCCCTGGAGTGGTACGGGAGGGAGGGCAGGGACACACACACATGCATATATACATGCACATATTGCACACACCCACTTATACACTAACCCTTATTCACTCACACACACACACATAAATCCAGCGGGGCCCAGCACTTTGACATTGATTTGTTTTTCTTATCCTTCCTCATCCCCTCATTTTTTCATCCCCCCCGACCGTATCTCATGTTGGACTCCCTATTGACACTTCATAGAGCCGTCCTCCTGGCTGCTGAAGAGGAGAGGGGTGGATGGTGGGGGGGCATTTTGGGAGCGGAGGGAGGAAAGGAGGAGGAACAATAACTTGACAGCTAACGACGGAATGCCTGGCTCTTATCCCCGGCGTGTCGGTCGGCACACAGATCAGCAGCTGCCAGAATCAATATGAATCATAACCAATATTTACCCAGCATGCTGACCCACAGCCCTCACCCTACACACACACACACACACAGAAATAATACCGTGAAGAGATGCAGCTGCAGCAGAAAACCCCCACATCCAAGCATTGCTATTGTTCACTAATGACGGCCCCAACCCCAAAAAACACTATCAGCTGTTTTTTTCTCTCCTTACGAATGATTAAAAAGACTTACGGGAGGGAAAAGAAAATCTCTTTTAAGTCGCCTCCTCCTGCGGTTTAAAACGTGTTTTCTTTGTCAGAAGCAACTGCCTTATTTTCCTTTTATCTCGTAGACTTTGAGGAGCCAGAGGATCCCTCCACTCGCTCCTTTTTCTCTGAAATCATCTCATCCATCTCCGACGTGAAGTTTAGCCACAACGGCCGTTACCTGATGACCAGAGACTACCTCACTGTCAAGGTGTGGGACCTTCAGATGGAGAACAAACCACTAGAGACATACCAGGTAAGCCTTTGTCTTGCTTTATTGTGCCTGTTGGGTAGTTTGAAGGCTCCAAAGAAAATCCTAAATAACAGCTAAGCCCAGATCAAATCAAAACGTATTGATTTCAGAGTAATCACTCAGCATAATCCTGTTTCACTGTCGCCCTGCCAATCCGCAACCGTGTCATCTCCTGCAATTACCCCGGGAGGGCTTATTGAGCCGACTGTCCGTAAAAAGACAGATAGTGGCGGTGCTGATGCAACCTGAAGGGCAAAACCTCCCACTGTGAGGTCACCGGGGTCAGGTCCACTCTGTCTGATCAGGGGACGCCATTTTAGGAAAGGTCATGATTGATAAGGCTATCGGCTGAGCTCAAGGGATTCCCCGTCCAATTCCACCTGCTATGTAGCATCTTAGCACTGGGCACCGGGTCTGGAGGGATTATTGAAACTCCAGCATATGGCATTGGAAGCTTAAGGTTGAACGGTTTATCACTAAAAGATATTGTGACGAACCATTGGTGCTGGGAAAGTGTACATTTTGATTTGCCAACTGCTTCATGTCCTGATTTGTTTTTTTAGGTGCATGACTATTTACGCGGCAAACTCTGTTCTCTGTATGAGAACGACTGCATCTTTGACAAGTTCGAGTGTGTCTGGAACGGGTCGGACAGGTGAGATTTGTTTCTGATCTGTTCATCCATTCAGCACGTCATCCAACCACACCGATAACACTCCGCTCTCCTCTGCTCCTCCTCAGCGTCATAATGACCGGCTCCTATAACAATTTCTTCCGAATGTTTGACCGGAACACAAAGCGGGACGTCACACTGGAGGCGTCCAGAGAGAACAGCAAACCCAGAGCCATTCTGAAGCCTCGCAAGGTACTAATAAAACTTGGTTTGAGACCAAATGCTACTACAAATGAACGCTAACGTTGCTCTCTGTTTCCTGGATGTGTAAGTAGGTAACTGTTGTTTTTGTGTGTTACGGCGTGATAACATATCAGTGTGGCCTTTCACGGCGCATTCTGGCGCCCCCAAGTGGGCAAAAATAACTAAATACTGCTATACAATCCCTATGTTATAATATTTGAGGGCTCATGCTCTAAAACTCCTATCTTAATGCCCCTCTATCCCTCCTCAAGGTGTGTGTGGGCGGGAAGCGTCGCAAGGATGAGATCAGCGTGGACAGCCTCGACTTCAGCAAGAAAATCCTTCACACCACATGGCACCCGCATGAGAACATCATCGCAGTAGCGGCCACCAACAACCTCTACATCTTTCAAGACAAGGTCAACTAAAGCGCGGTCTGCCCCTGCCGACCCCCCCCTGCTGGGTCGGCGAATGAGGGACGGAGCCCTTACATACATCCTTCCCCATGTCTCGCTGCTGCTGGGCTTGAATTTTGTTGCTCTGCTGAAGAATTTGTTTGAGCAAATTGTGGACGGTGTAAACTTTGGAAAGCGGGGAGATAAATACCACCCGGACGACATAGCGCGAGAAAAACTGTTCTTTGAAATCAAAGAACGGACTTTCATTCTCCAATTTGACTTCTGATTTAATTTATTCAGCCATGCGGACACCCGGAGAGGGGAATTCTGTGCATTAACGCGACAAGCGGATCGCCGCATGAGTGACATGATGTAGCGCCCCTCTGCACCCTGGGGAGAGATGTGGGTACACTGGACATAAAGTAGAGCACACTGACAGGAACCCAGCTTACATGGTGGTCTCTCGTCGTCATGCAGCAGCAGTGCCCCCCCCCCCCCTCCTCCCCCCTTTTCTTTCAACCTGCTCATGCTACTGCGCATGTGATCAACCCCGCGTTGAACGTTTTGGACAGTGCGACCTGCTGCACAAATTCCTACAAAAGTAGAAGAGACTGTTAATGTCTGACCCCAGAAACGGAGTTGTCTCTGCCTGTGACTCAACACGGTCAGTCTTTTAAGTACCAATTCTGTGTCTCCCTGGTGGGACTGCTGTAGTCTGTAATGTGAATGAAGCCCTTCCAGGCCGTGTCAATGGTTTTATTTAATGCTGTTGTTTTATTGAGTCGTTTGCTCGGTCGACGAGTCTGTCTAGAAAGCTGTGGTGCCTTCTTTTGGTATGTGGGGGTTTGATGTAGTGGGAGCGGGGAGGGTATGGGGGGGGGGGGGGGGGGGGGCCTGAAGACCAGCGACGAGGAGAAAGTTTGCAAAAGAAAAGGTAACATAGGAGAGTATTTTTTGGTTTTTGGTCTTTCTCTATAAAGAAAAAAGAAAAGAAAAAAAAGCTCTACTGTGGTCCTGAGAGGGGAACAAGTGCTTGAAGCGATGTAGTCTGGATTACAATACAGCACCGGCTACGTGCTTGTGAGTTCAGGGGGGAGGACGCTGTGATATGTACAAAATATTGTTGCTCTTAACACAATTTGCAAGAGACACAACAAAGCAACATTACATTTTGTTTAGCGAAATCCTGATTGAAAAAAACAAAAACACATTACATTTGGAATTTATTTGGATTGTACTAAAAATTATCTGAAGATGGCAGTGAACTACTCATGATGAAATATTGAGATTTTTGGATGTAACGCCTGCAGGCGTAGCTCCTTTTAAATTTGTTAGATCTGATTCTGTTGAAACTGACTGCATTTAGATATTAAACATCTACAGATAATTTGAGGCACTATGCAAGTAAAATTCTTATCAACAAGAAGCCAGTTTAGAAATGTTGATATTGGATAGCTGGGATGTCTGTCCACGCTCCTCTTTGTGTTGACGAACAGTGGCAGGTTTGTATTTCAGCACTTGGCTCTTGTTAGTTTTGAGATCCTCTTTTGTCTCATATTTTGTTTGACGAGCCCCCATCAAGAAAAAGCAGTCAAAGGTCTAAATGAACTCTGTGAAATCAGGGAATTATTAAGTTGGATTCCTTTAGACGGTAATGTCTTCTACGACCTCCTTTGTGACACTTATTGAAACAAAAAAAGAATTTTATAGCTCAGAATGTATTGAAATGCAATTAATTACCATGCAGTCTTTATGCTTACTGGTCTTTCTTTGAATAAAAAAAGAATAAAGATGTGCAAGTTGAGAGTCTGCATTGTTTGACTTCACTGTTAATGCTGCTGATTCAAACTGAACGTACAGGAAATGATTCATTGCTGCTCGTGGTGCAACGGCGTCCTCTTGTGGATGCACAGAAAGTCATATGAAGGCATAAAAAGAGAGAAACCGCCTTAAATCAACTCGGCACTTGGTTGCTTACCAATGACTTATTATGTTCTTAGTACTTATGTTTATAACATCATATGGTGCTTTAAGTATTAAATGATGAATATTTCTGATTATACATGTCCCGTAGTCCCTGTAACTAAACTATTTTAATAAATCCTTTGCCATAAAAACAAAAACTATATTTCAACAACAGTCAAGCGCCAAGAAAAATGCACTAATGAAGTTAAGACCTCCTTAACTAACATTAATACCCATCAAATGATCTAATGCATTCATCCTCCATACAGTGCACACTATGCAATCAGTTTTCCTAATTGCCCTCTAGAGGCTGCAGTCCACCACGGTTTGTCTGCTGGGGACCGCAGCTGTCAATCAAACAGCGTCTTTATAAGCAGCCACAGAAGCGGCATCATTGCGTCTCGGGATAGACCAGGGGACAGACTGGAGCTCTGCTGTGATTATTGATCGTCAATCAATAGCTTCTCTGATGCAATTGATGTGACAGGTTTAGATCAGGATTGGAGGTATCGCTATCACTTAAATCCTGCAACCTAGTTAACTAGTTTGTTCTCATATTAGCCGACTATCTATTATTTTGGAAAAGATGGATAAGTTGAGCGGCAACAATGTGACAGCGGTGAACAGCTCCGCCGACAAGTGGTCGTTCAACGAACGAGGCGCACGGCCACACGTGGTCCCCGAGGAGCTGAGGGTGCTGGTGCCGACTGTCCTGGGAGTCATCTGTGTCTTGGGTGTGGCTTGTAATCTCACCGCGATGGTCATCTTGTTCTCCAGCGCTCACCGGGGCAAACTGTCCCTCATCAACTCCCTCATCTTCAACCTGATGTTTGCCGACGGACTGATGCTGCTGTTCACCGTCCCGTTCAGGGCTGCCTCCTACTCCAACGTCACCTGGAACCTGGGCTGGCTGGTCTGCAAGACGGCCAACGGGTTCCTCCAGACCTGCATGGCAGCGAAGAGCTTCACACTGGCCGTCATGGCCAACGCGTGCCACCGATACGTGTCCAACCCCAACAGGCAGGTGAGCATCCGACTGGGCTCCATCCTGGCGGTGTTCTTCTTCATCTGGCTGTCTGCCTGCTCGGCCGCCGTCCCTCACTGGCTGTTTGCCTCGCTGCGGAGAGAGAGTCGCGGGCCGGTTTGCACGCTGATGGTTCCCCCCGAAGCCCGGGACTTCATGGCGGTCTACGTCAAAGCGTACCCCCTGGTCGTTTACTGTGCGCCGCTCAGCTTCGCCCTGGTGTATTTCTGGAGGGCTTACAGCCAGTGCCAGCGCCGCTCCAGTAAGACTCCGAACCTGCGCACACAGATCCGATCCAGGAGGCTCACCTTGATGTTGTTCAGCCTGACCGTGGCCATGGCTATTCTCTGGCTCCCCCAGTGGGTGGTGTGGGTTTGGGAGCGTCACGCCGCGGAGAAGGAGATCGAGGGGGCTCATCCCCTCGCCTCCTCTCTTCCCCCTCTTCTAACGCTCTCGGCTCAGCTGCTCACCTTCTCCCTGTCCCTGGTGAACCCTCTCATCGTGCTCTCGCTCTCCGAGGAGTTCAGAGAGGGCTACAGGGGGCTGTGGAGGCGCCTCACACTGCGGAAGCAACCTCCAGCCAAGCCAAAACCCGGACCTCACAACCCTACATCTCTCCAATCGCCTCGCCCCAGACCAGAGACTTCTGGCCAGCCGGAGGGAGAGGGGAGCCTTCAGTCGAGGTCCGGCCGAGGTCCCTGCAGAGAGGCTCAGCCCCTGCAGGAGCGAGCAGCAGAGGGCACCGGCGACCGGCTGAGCCTCAAAGATGGGATTGTTCTGCCTGACGTGGAGCAGTTCTGGCACGAGAGGGAGTCTGGATTGGACCCAGAGGAAAATGACCCTGTGCCGTGGGAGCACCAGAAGAAAGAGGGGGATAACTGAACCGTCCTTCGGTCGCTTAATTCAATCGTCATACAGCGGCAGCTTCAATCAGCAGACCGTTGATTTAAGGATTGAGGCTGCTGCTCTGTGCGGCGCCGTAAATCATTTGTATTCTATCACCTGAGTTTATATTGTTCAAATGGTAAGATGTGCAATCAGAGTGGAAAACCAGAGCGGGCTATACATATACAGATATACAGGTAATATATAAGTATCATATGTATATAGGATAAACATAATATACTATTGTGTTTGTTTGATTGTGCTTTTACTACTTCAAAAATACAAACTAATTCTAGTGCAGGGTGGCTTTTGGTGGTAATGTGAATTTAATACACAGTAATCTATATCTACTTTTAGTAGTAGTAGTGTGTGAATTGATATTGGAAATCCAGATATATTGAAGTACTTGGACACACCGGTATGTGCTGCAGGCAATCCTCTCGGTAAAGTCTTAGATTTTAACACCTAAAATGTATTAATTACTTGTGTGCAACCATCGTTTAAGAAAACCCTTTGGGTTTTCCTGATGTTGAAGTAGTGCGTTTTTTATGTAACAGTGAGTGTGTATTTCTGCCCTGTGTTTGTGAGACATTATTTTGTATTGATTGTGCATCAATAACCAGTGTTTACAATAAAGGCAATTCTATAAATGTTGCCTGTGTGTGATACAATTGTTCTGTGGTGTCAAAGATGATGTAGATTAGGAGATTAATATAGAAAAAAAACATTTAAATGTACCTGTGTTCAGGAACTCATGTTCTTGTCATTGTGTGACACACACACACACACACACACACACACACACACACACACACACCCCTCTGCAGTTGTGTCTTAATGAGATGGATCAGACATTAGCGGATGATCTCCTGCTGCCATCACGTCATTAAATATATTTTCAGAAGGGCATCCATTATAATGTCCAGGGTTCTAATTAGAGGTAAAGAGCTTTCGTCTGAACTCAGAGTTGAGTCAGTAAACTCACATCTGTTGGTCTCACAACGAATTCTTCATGCATTGATCTGAATACGCACAATAGGTAAAAACCTCACAATTAAAAGGAGGAAACTAAGCTGATTAGGGATCAAATTGTCTGTCTTTGATAAACCGTTAAGACTCGTGTAAGTAATAAATAATAAAGTAAACGAAAATGGAAACAAGTTACCTGACACATTTTTAGACTCCCTCCACTCCCTTGTGACATTTTCATTTCATTAATAATTTATGTTGACCTTTTATTTCCACAGGCAAGTACCTCAATCAGAGCAACACTTAACTATATAAAACCCAATCAATCCCCAGGGTTGTGACCTGGCCATAATTACTGAAGCCAAAAGAAAAAATAACCTATTGTTGGGCTGCAGTCTTAACCTTCAGTGTTTAAACAGATGAATAATTGAAGGTTCTTGCACAGGAATACCACAAAAAACAGTATGTCTTTACATTAGTGATACTGACATCAAAACACCGTGTTACCACAGCACCACTACATATAGCCGGTACTGTTTGACATCTGAGGCATTAAAGCCCAGTTAAATTAAGCAGTAAATCTGCAGTTGTGAGATTGTATCATATGTAGGTGCAAAGGTCTTAATCACTTGTAAACAACTGGTGCAATCCTGCCATTTTATATACACACGGAAAGCTGCGGTTCAGCAGCCCCAGAGCTTTCACTTGGCAAGCAATTGACTGACAAATCTTTTTCTTAACTTAGGCCCCTTTCACCCGAGACATCGGTCACAGTAGGAGAAGCACAGCTGTAAATGATGGTATTAAAGACGGCTGATCCACTTCATCTGGCTCATTTCAACACTTTAGAGCACTGGCTCTACTGCAAGCTGCTTGCAGGGCGTCTGACCTCCTCACCCTCGGGAGGAGGCTAATTTAAACCGCTCATTTCTTTTGGTTAACATGTAAAGTCCGGTTGAGAGTTGGAACTTAACGGACGGACTAGTAAAATCACACGCCTCACTTGAGAACTATAGCCTAAGATACTTAAATCCCACGCATGGGGCAAAGAATCACTCTACTACAATCCGCCGTCGTGCGATCTACTGATCGTCCAGACCTCTTCACACTCGCTGGTAGGGACCAACAGGTGTTGGGAAACAGGGTAAATGTTGGAAGCACCAGCTTAGTTGGGCGCCCTGAAAGGATACAGGAGAAACACCAACATGTTTTGCACAGTCGGCCTCAAGTTTAAGATAAGCCAGGCAGCAGGATCGTTTACCAAAAGGTACTTTAAAGTTTCCAAAAAGAAAATAAGCCAGTCTACGTGGGTTAAAAATGAAACCCATGCTCGCTGGGATCCCAACTTTTTTCAGCCACTGCGTCTTCTTCAACGTTGACGTGCTGACAGACGTCTCGCTCTTTGTTTAGACACGACAGTTGACAAATGCATCACACTGTCTGAATACAGATTCACTAGTTCCACCACTATTTTACCAGGAGAACTAACTAAAGGTTAACGTACCGTATTACTGCAAATAGGGACTGATTTCAGTCACAGCCACTGTGTAGTTTTGTGAGCAAAGCACGGCTCTGCTAAAATATAACTTGAGTGTAATCGGTGTTCATGCTGAATGGAGGTGTGCAAGGTGACCAGACATGTGGGTCAACGGGTGAGTATTCTCTAACCTCCATGCACATGCATGTACATTAATGTATCAGCTGGCGTTTGCCCCTAGTGGACACTTTTGTGGTAAATGTTTTTCCTGCAGAAAATAGAGCATCTCCAAAAACAGCATAATGGTAAAAAAGTTCTAATGAGACTGAGAGACTGCTGATGAAGCTCAGGATAAAGAAAATCTCAGCAGAAAGAAAAACACTGATTAGGAGCAAAGTGGTGATTAACGAGTGTGGCAATCAACATTACGAGTGGAATGACAAGTCTGGGTTAATTAGGTCATTATAGGAAACCTTTCAGCAGGTGAGATCCTCTCCTCGCTGCCCTCCTGGCTGCGCCTCCCTCCCCCCCTTCCCGCTGGGAGGGGAGGCAGGGGTGTCACCCCTGTGTTTTATCTCGCTCAACCTCATCATTATCATCTCTAATAAATGAAACTCCACAGCAAGTGACATGCAAACCGACACTAATTATGCTCAGCGGAAAAGGCCGGCTGCAATTAAGCCACAAGCCTTTGGTTGCCGAGGCTGCGTGTCCCTCTGAGGCCATGTCCACACTACCTTTAAAAACAGGCTTCTTTTCCTTAGTTTACATCGAGTGTCCACTCTAGACCCAAGTTTTCATAAGGTCCCAGTATTAATCCCAAATCCCAGTATTAAACGAAAGCTTAGTGCGTATGGAGCCGGAGTCACACCTTCCTCTCAGGATCACCTGGCTCTGCTGTCTGCAGAGAGTCAAGCAGAAAGCGTGCGTGTATGCGTGCGTCTGTTTGTGCTGGAGGAGGGTTGGTTCAGGGGATCTGGCCTTGGTATTTAGCAGCCTTTTGATTAAAATAAACCAGAGAGCTTTCATCTCAGTGAAGGATGTGGAGAACTAAAGGGCAGGCACCTTTCGGCATTTCCAACAGTGCTCCGAGGGGGTGTCATTTAAACAAACTATACACAATCGATGAGTAATCGATCATTTAATAAGCAGAGGAAATGACCTATGACATCAAAGGCTGCCTACACAACCAACAAACAACAATTCCCCACGACAAAACAAGGAAGATTTAAATGTACTACTTTTATTGGAATAAATCTGTGTAAAAACTGAAGATTGATTACTTTGAATGATGAGGGTCCTGTAGAGACCGTTTGAGCATCTCTTGGCTCTTATCTTTTGTTTGTTGACTTTGGATCAGTCTTAAGGTAGCAGTCTAAGTGGAAAAGCTGTGATAAACCCAGTGCACATTACCTGTTACCCTTCACCCTACTGCACACAGTATAAACAGGCAGGTAAAGCATGAGTGGGGGGGGGGGTCACCATTCAGCATCTTAGCGGTCAGATATCCACCTCAGTAGTTGGACACTAAAACAAAGCAAATAGTCAATTGAATGAAAGACAAATTCTTCAGGTGGTCAAAAACACGACTCTAAATGGATTTTACTGTTACTTCTACCTCATGCGCTATTTGTACACTGTAGGTGCACATAAGCAACAGTCTCAACATTATAAGGTCATTTGTCCACGTTGTTCTTCCAGGTTGTTGCGCTGCCCCCAAGTGGCCAGAATGTAAATTACATTTAACTGAGATTTTATTCTGCGATATATTATACACAAACCAAAAAGACCATATAATATTCAGCAATTCAGGATTTATTGAGCTGGATTAAAAGGTGAAACAATAACAATATTCATTCATTAATCTACAAAAAAAAAGTAATAATCCAGATTAAAACAAGATTACAAGTATTGACAAACCACAATCATTTAAAATGTATACTTTATTATTTCCCTGTGTGTTTTAATCCAAGTTGAAGACACAATGTTACACAGTGCCAGCGTTTGCATAGATCTGATAAAGTAACACATGGCAGCTGACAGAGCAAAATATAAAATAAAACAAGTATTTACAAAGATATCACTGTAACACAGCATGGCATATAGAATATTCTATTCTAAGAGAGAGGAGTTACTTCATAGCATTTTGGTCACAAGGAAATTCCCCCGGAACATTTTTTAGTAACATAGGGTTATGAACATAATCATTACAATAATTGTATACTGACATTTTGATGTTTAACTGACACCTGTAGTTAAAACCATGGCTCATATTTATTGCACCAATGCAATGCAATGCATTTTTGCACCAATGTGAGTATATTTGAATGGTTGGCATGAACAAAGAGGAATTCATGACTAATAGTAAATGGCCAAAGTAAAAAACAGTGCGGGAAAGTGATGCGTCACACACAATCTTCATCAAATACTCGCCTTCTGCAGTATTTCACACTAAAATGATTGCTCAAAGTGCAAGACCACAACAGTATAAAAACCCCAAATCAAAACAAACAGACACAACCCCAAAATGACCTGCTACATATCAGGTGTACAGTACATCTCTCGTCATAAGCGTATGCCAGCATGCATGTAGGGCTTTTACTGGTCCCATTTGGTCCAGTTAAAATCCCATTCTCATTCACACATAAGAAGCGCAAGCACTTCAAGAGTGACATCTTTTCTTAATATAAGATATCACTCCACAGCTGATGCTCTTAAAGACACGCCATGTCTGGTACACAAGCAACATTGTAAACAGGAACTTTCCTTTGCAAATAAATACTCCCAGAGCAGTTTTTCAACACTGCGCAACCCGTGGAACAACTTCACATTTCCATTGAATTTAGGGGAAATAGTTCATAGGGTTTCTGTTTCAAGTTCTGAAAGCTGACAGAGCTAACAAAGTATAAATCTGAAAAGATTTAAGACTTAAAATGTACTTTTTGTGATATGCATTCTGACTTGCTGATTCAAAATCAGAATCCTTCTACAATACATGAGTGTAAAGTAAACCCCAGAGTCAGGTTTACATCATAGACTACAGTTTCCGTTTTTTTTTTTAATAAAAAAGTTTGTTTAAAACGAGTTAACAAGGAGTTTGTACATCTTGACGTTGCAAAATGCCACCAGATAAATTACCCATTTGATTTTTTCTGTCCAGCAGATGGCGCTAAAGCAGCTTTGCCTCTTTGCAGGGCGTTGGTGGTAACCTGCAGGCCTTTCATTCGTTGCTGTTCCTGAAATAACAAATCACAGTGAGTAAAATCACTTTACCACACCGACTAAACTGCAGCAGAATCGGCTTTGTTCAACCACGTACAAACATACTCACTCCTGATGGTTTGTTTAAAGGACACGGCGGTGGGGGTCTGGTCGGGGGGTCCGGTCGGAGCTTGGATGCTACCGACTGGGACGGTACAGGCGGGCGTCCTGTAGGCGGTGGAGGGGGCGGGTTTGGTCTCAGCTTGGTGAGCTTTGCCGAATTAACCGAAGGTGGAGTGTAACTCGCAGGAGAGTTTTGTCCAACTCCAGGCTGAATCTGGGCCCGGGCTGTTTGGCCTTTCTGCTCCGCAGCATACGCAGGTACGGCAGGAGGCTTCACCGCCGGAGGCACAATAGCAAGACGAGTTGAGCAAGACGGACTCGGACGTGGAGATGGTTTCCCCTGGGGAAGGATGCAACCATAACAGAGTTCAGCGGTTTCTTCTGATATCACAAACAACTGCGGATGGCGGCACTGGGCCGTGTGAAACCTCTTTACCAGGTCGTCTGAGTGTTGTTTCTTCAGCAAGAATATTGGGTTTGCATGACCGCTCACATGGCTGTTGGCCGAGACTGAAGAACTGAGGGTTAAAACACAAATAGAAAAGTATTTACACATTCACATTTACGCAGAGGATCGGTATTTTACCCTTCAGAATGTCATACCTTGGCATTGGAGGTGGAGCAGAGGTCTTCCCAGGGTGGAGTTTATGTCTGTAGCAGCACCACAGTGCAACGGCAGACAAAATCACAAAGAGAACCAGGGGAAGGACCACCAGGACTGGAAGGAGATTGCCTGTTGGCAATAGAATTTATACAATAAAATTATATATTTTCAAAGACATACTCTGACTAGTGTATCAGTACATATATATAATGAAATGTCTCACTGTGGATGACGACAGGTCCACTGTCTACACTCCCACCAGAACCCTTCTGGACACACAGAGGGGGAGCCCAGCCTGCGTCACAGTGGCAGTTGTGGTTGTTGTTGCACAGCTGGCAAAATAACATATTACACATTAAGATTGCAACAAAGAATTACCGTATTTTCCGCACTATAAGGCGCACCGGATTATAAGGCGCACCTTCAATGAATGACCTATTTTAGAACATGTTTCATATATAGGGCGCACCGGATTGTAAGGCGCATCAGATACTGCCGTCAAACGTTTGACGTCTGGGCGGGTGGACGGGGGACGTGGAGACTGTGCTTTCAGGGTCCGATCGATGCTGCGAGGTTCATAGCACAATAATACAATATTAAAACGAAGAATGTTTACGAGAGAACGGATCAGATTGAAGAACTTTTGTCGGAAGAAATGCGTAAATATGACCGCATATACAACCCGTCATTGGCGGACTATAAGGACGCGCGGATGGCCTCGATTCACGGAGGGAGATCTCTGCAAACGTCGGTTTGCCGGTCGAGAGGTGCACAAAGTTGTGGAGGAAAACACGGGACAAATGTGTCCGCGATGAAAAGCAGCAGTGGCGATGCACGGGGCAATAAAGATATGATATATAATAAATAAACAAATGAAAGAAACTTCCACACACAAAGACGTGACTCTAGGTCGTCTTCGACAAAAACACGTTACTCCACCTGTTGTTCTGGCGGTGAATTGCTCTGCAACACACGCAAGACTTTAGAACCATGAATTGAAACGAGTGCATCGACACAACGACGCAGAAGCATGCGCCAGCTTTTAGAATAACTTATTTCCCCGTTAAGATGGTTCAGCTACTGTAGAGAAAAGGGCACCGTCTCTCGCTCTTTAATCTCATGAAGTGCTCGGCAAGAACGACAGCTTTGTTTCTCCGACGCGCCCTGAAACAAGCTCCATATCTCACGCGCTTGAGCGCCGCTCAGCATCTCGCCGCCGTAGACCGAGCTTTGGCATGTTTGGCAGAGCGCCTTTAGCGCCGTGTACAACCAGTATGGATCAACCGATTAACCAACTGATCCATATATAAGGCGCTCTTCTATATATATATATATATATATATGTGCTCTTCTAAGTGCGCTTTTAAGTGCGCTTTATAGTGCGGAAAATACGGTACTTCATTACATTGCCATGTGGGTTTGGTAATGAATGAAACATAGGAACGCAAAGCAAAGTGTGTCAAGTTCATTTCAAATGGAAAGGTGAAGTTTAGGGGTGACATGTAACAAGCTGCATTTGAGAATAATCAAATAAAACTCTTTTTCAGAAAGATTTAGGATCCATCACTTTTACTGGAGTATTTCTGCTTTCATGTATTGCTACTTTGTATAAAATATAAAAATAATTCCAGCACAACAGCCAAGCTTTTTCATATTAGTGGGCTGGCAGCCAAATCTTCAACACTTCAACACTCTTTAGAAATTCACATTTCCAGCTGCCTTACATACACACACACACACACATAGAAACTTACCCCGTGCCCATTGCACTTGCTATTGCACTCATCAGCTCTGAGGAAAGATGCATTGCGGCATTCCCCGTTGAAGCAAAGCTGTTGAAAGGAGTGATGAGGATGAGAGTCGGCGATGAGGGGTTAACGAATCAAGTTCTTCCTTTAAGAGGTACAGCTTTCTTTATGAACAACTAGGGTAGGTGGTTGACAAACCAACATATCAGAGATCTAAAGCTCTCTGCCACAGCGCTGAATTCCATCTAGTAAATCTCACCGAGTCCACGGCACACTTGGTGCCCGTCATGACCAGGCCTGGGTCCAGAGTGTCCCCCTGCCCCTTCTCCTCCCCCTGCCCAGGCATGTACACGTGTGTTCCCAAGCACTGGATCTTCTTGTTGCCCGCGGTGACGGTGGTTTCTATGCGCACAGCGCTGTTCGCAATGGGCTTGGAGACCGAGGATAAACACTGGATTTTCCCACATGGGGCATCCCTGGCAGAGACAATAAAAAAAGGCCATTGAGATTTTGGTGATTGTCGGGAAATGTGGGTAAAAGAAAATGTGAGGGTTGAACTTCTTTTCAGATCGTCACCTTTCCTTGCAGCTCCTGTACTTCCCAAACAGATCTTTGCCACAGTTCCCGTACATGTCTCCGGCTTCGTTTACCTTCTTAAAACACAGGTCAGGGGCCGAGCGGCCATCTGTGATCGGAAGGGAAGAAAGTGCACAGAAACACATGAATTGGTCTGCACCCACACACACACACACACACACACACACACACTCACAATAACAGCGTGTATTGCGACCACCTGATGGAGACCAGATGGCATCCCTTACTGCAGTATTGCTCCTGCGGTACTACAAAGGCTCTCCAGGGAAGCTCTGTCGCAACGTGAATATGGACGCTGTCCAATAACAACCTCTAGTCCTGTGAGCCGGTGAGGCGCATCTCGAACTTTAAAGTTCTTTAAAGATCAAATATGAGATTATTTGACGGCTGAAATGCTGCGCATGTTCATAAGTTATATGCATTTACTCACATTTAAACGGATTATCTCTCTACACTCTTGGAAACTGATAATTGATTTTATGGAATATTGCAAGAATTTGTCTTAATTTGCAATCTGAGAGCAGTAGCTTCAGGTGTATCCAATAAAGTGTACACCAATCTCTGCACGCTGTCTATGCTGCATGTGATCAACATACATTTACGAAATACAAAAGCATCCAGTTTACCCACCTTGTCCCCAGAGGGAGCGACACTGCTGCTCCAGGGTCAGACACATGCCGGTGTAACAGTAGGCCCGCCCAGCTGCACACGACGTACCGTCCACCAAATAGAAATTAGCAGGACAAGACTCCGCTTTCCCATCACAGTATTCTGGCAGATCACAGGAGCCGGAGGGCGCACGGCAAAGAACACCTGGGCTTTTCAACTGGACACAGAGGAAGAGGAGGAAGAATGGTTAGGAGGCACACAGAGGAGGAGGATGTCAAGATTTACAAAAGGCAGAATCAGAGCTTTAGTCCAAATTGCTGAAATGTTCGTCTTAAAACTGACTATTAGTCCAGGGGACGCGTCCATCAGGGGATGATTGTGAAAGTTTGATGATGGTTATTACCTTGCAGTCATGACAGCAGACGCCATGGGCACACTCGGCTCCGGCTTTCAGAGTGCAGTTGTTGGCGTTACAGCAGAGACTCGTGCACTCCTGCAAAGAGAGCGTAGAGTCCGCAGTCCAAAAGCATGCAGGGGAAATACATACGGCAAACATTCAGGGGGCACCAACGCACCTCTTCTTCTCCACAGTCACATTCTTCTCCATCCTCCAGGTAACCGTTGCCGCAGCGCTGCCCCCCATACATGGATCTGGTGTTCGGCAGGTTGAAGAGACACTTCCCTCCCCCAGAGTTCAGGTAGCTCTTAAGCTCCTTCAGGTTGCAACCGTTGAAAACACGAGGAAATGGATGCCTGGTTCGTGACGAGGAAGACGGACAAACACATAATGCAGACTTTATCGTGATCGAATGTCAACTTTCAAATCTTCCGTTCCTCTCCGCCCAATTGGTTTAATAGCGGCCGTCGGTTTGGGTGGAGGACATCAACCCTTGCGTGTCGTACCCAGTAGCAGCAGCCATGATGCAACCTCCGTCTTCGGCCTTCGCCTGGCAGCAGCCTGTACTGTCGTGGCTCATGCCGAAATTGTGGCCCATCTCGTGTGCCATGGTGGCAGCCACACCCACAGCTAACTCAGAGTGGTCCTATTCCCAAAAAAAATAGTTTGAGGAGGTAAGTGAAAATAGAATTTGGAGAAGTGATATTTCTGTATTCATGCTGTCCTCCCACAATACAAACCCAAAGTACACGGCTAATTGTGTAAGGTATTTTTGACCGACCAGTCTCAATATTTACTCCAACTTTCTTAAGACTTTTGTCTCTCACCGCGTTCACTCCACCGGACTGGTAGTCGGAGCACATGGCTTTGAGAGGGGCCAGCCCGATGATGGTCCCTTGGAAGTCCCTCCCCCTGTTGACACAAAACGCTACTGGTGATTAGTTCCAGTTGGACGACGGCCCAGCGGGTTACAGCTGCTGATAGTTACAGCCTCGCAGTGCATAGAGAAATCAATTGAGAGGTCGGACCCCAGGGGGACCAGAGGCTAAGAGGTGATAGGTGGGACTCTAGCGTTGGAGAAGGTGCAGAATGACTGATGGGGAGATTAGCGGCAGAGACAAACACTGACGTGACGAGTTGAGCGTTGTCGTTGGGGAGCGTACGGAGCTGCTTTCCTCTCCAGGACAGGAACGCTGCCAGAGTGCTGTGAGGGTTGTCGGAAACGCTGATCATGTCCTGGCTGGTCCAAACCTCCAGGCCGATCAACGCCACGCGGATGCTCAACGCCTTGTAGTACTGCGAGGACAAGAAAGGTCTCACTGGCCGTTTCTACTCGACACGGGTGGGATGAATCTGTCTGTTTGTGGCTTTCATGTTCTGCATCCGATCCTACCTTGTCAACCAAGTTGGCTGCCTCCAGTAGTTTCAGTTTGGTCTTCTGGAGACTACTCCCATGCTTCTCAAACTGCAAACGGCATAAATCACATGAGACACAGGAACAGACACACCCCAGTGTTTCCCACACAGACACGTTTGTGGCGGCGCGCCACAGATTCAACACCGGCCGCCGCACATTGCGCTTGGTGTATTTTTTTTTTTTGAACTCTAATTAAATCACGCAGCGTATTCGTTCAGCTGCATTTCCTCCGTTGTTCTGACAGAAGTTGCAGACTTTGCGCATGTTGTAGGCTGTAACAACAAGTAGTATAGTGAAATGTGTACTACAGCTATGGGAGTTGTATATAGTGTAAATTGTGTATAGTTCTATCTAGTGATGTGTGTTTTAGTACGATGTTTGTATAGGCATGAAGTTTTGAATTTACTGCCCCCCCCCCCCTAGTCAGCCCCCACACATTGACGTTGGATCTGTGGGAAACACTGCACCCACACCTTTTCTTATTAAACCTCAAAAGGGGAGTTTAGGTGACAAAACAGGATGTTATTCAGATCTTGATGTTTACTACAACTTCCTCAAAATGAAATGGGTGCGATTTACTGACGTATTCTATTCATTTCTTTATAGTCCTGACTTGAACAACTTCTGTTCCAAATAAATAGCTCGTAACGTTTAAAAATACATCCGTGCAGCCGACTTATACTGTATCTGAGGGCCACAAGGGGGTTGAAGCCAGTCCCAGCTGGTGGAAAACGCCACACAGTGAGAGACAAGATACGGACACCGAAAACAGTTCACACCTTCCTACAGCGTGGGTGGGTGCTGTCATGTTCTCATGATATTAGGCCTCGCACATGCGTCATTTTTATTTCCCGGCTTGGCTTAAGAAATGGCCAAACATGACAGAATTGAATCCTCACCGCAGCCTTGTCTGCAACTATCAGCAGCTCCACGTACTTCATATTCTGGCTCACGTCCCTTTTTTCCTGAAGACAGAATACGTCAACGACAACCTCGTCGTGGTTTGTGTAGACCTGGGTTTCGTCCTTTGTCCGGTCCCTACTCACCCTGGCGCTCCGAGGAGACATCATTCCATGGATGAAGTCGTTAAGCCCCTCCTCGCGCTCCTCGTTGCCACGGTGATGCGGGCAGCTACCCCCGGGTAGATGGAGACTCTCGGCTCTGAACACAGCGTGCTGCTGTGCACCCGTGGAAACGGGAAGAGGCTCAATCAGGTAGCTGACGCTTGTGTTCAGAGAAATCAGTCCTCTGGGGAAACAAGACGCAGCCAATTTGTTCCGTCCAATCATGACTCAGGGAAATCAATGTGGGTCGATGATCCGGTCTGTCGTATGCTGTGGAATTGTATATACTTTCCAACAGAAATCCTTTATTGCATTGTTAAACCGAGAGAATGGGTATTAGATACGCGGCTGAGAGTCAGACTGGGATTCTTTTTATGTGCTGTGGTGGTTTTACTGATGGGTGGAGTACAGATACGTTTCACCAGCTATTTACTGCTGCTCATGAATTAAATTCAGCTAGGGCAGACAGAGCGATACACGGCCTTTTGACTTCCCCCTCATAAATGCCGATGTGGATACACAAACACGCGAGCACGCACGCAGCATGTGGTCCAGCAGCTGTAGCAAACATCTGTCTGAGGTCAGACACCCACGTGTCAATGTCTCTAGTGCTGCATTTGCATTTCTCCAGAGAATCTTCATTTGCATTTCATTCAGTCTCTGGATGCAGAGCAATGAACCCACGGAAACACACATGTGGCTGTGATTTCTGTCAGCGCTTTCCAGCTGCTCCACTGCTCAAGGTGCTTCCAGCAGGAAAGCTCAGCCCCATTGGATCGCCGGCCGGAGGAAACACAGGATCTCCATACTGAGGTGGACTCAATGAACCAGCTCCCGAGCCCACGACCTATTAACCTACTGAACTGCACACAACTGTTTCCTGTCACCTTATCTACTCGCCCACGGCTTGATCACAGGCTGGACTGTTGTGCAGGCTGCAGGCTCTTTTCATCTACGAAATCCTGTTCAGAAACTATCTAGGTATTATCTCTGAGAGCCAACGGGTAATAAGGGGCTTAGGGAAGAGCTGTGCTGAGCTCTCTGTACAGTACCAGTCACACTTTCTCATTGAATCGAATGAGGAAATGTGTCCAAATGTGCCTTGTACTGTATGCAGTTTTTGTTTAGACTTAAAAAATAATAATTTGGCAGTAACCTGATTTCTCAAAAGGTTGTGTTCAAGAGGAACCATCTTTCTGCGAATTTATCTGCACAATTTCCGATAAGCAAATGCTTTCTAATCGTCTTTTTACATGAAGATAGTGTTGATCAGGGCCAAGAAAAGTACTAACAAACATTTGGACACATGTCTGTATTGCTTTTGGCAAATTAACCAAAACAGGAAATGTTGAACAACAGTGACATGAATTTATGTGTGTTGTTTAGACAGGTTACAAATCACTCTGTGTCCATTAATTCTGTTTTTCTGGCACAAATGTTTGACAGTCAGTTGGAAAAAAACTGACTAGCTAAAATTAGCATGAACGGAGCTCGAAGTGTTAAATCACTGAACAAGCACATTGAACACAGTTTATTTCTGCAGCGCTGTGTTGGGAAAACGTTCCTCTTGGCTCTGTTCCTTGTGGCTCTTCTACTGCTTTGCTGAGGTAACTTCTAAGAAACTTTCAACATTCAACACTGGGACCAACTCTAAATATTTGAAAACTGTATAAAAACAGCTTGAGGTGCAGTTTTAACTTACCTGATTCCTGAGCATGTGCTAACAGCAACGCTTGATCCTTTCATGCCCTGAACCTCCCCATGGTAGAAACAGTGTCCCTGTAACACAAAAGAACTTTAAAAGCTCCAACCAGAAGACCTTGTTATACAAGCATCGGATGTGATGTTGTATCTACACTGCCCGTTAGCCTCTAAACTACTACTGCTTGTATTCATTTCTCTACTGTGATCACTCACAGCTTCCCACTGCTTTTTAAGAGCGCCGGATTGCCTGATGGACTTACAGTGGTGGCAGGAGAGGAGGATCTGCGGGCTCCATCGGGACTGTACCAGATCTCCTGATATCCAGGGGCCAACAGCTGCCTGGTGGAACATTGCAAAAACTCAGAGGCAATTTGCAAGATGATGTATGCCATCAAATGTTCAATCTACTGAAAGAGCGGAAATATGGTGGGAAATGTACAGAGTTAAGGCTTGGAACCACAGAGAAGATAGAAGAAGACTGATTCTCTCCAGCAGCCCACAGCTCATAAAACATTCACTCTGATAAGAGACAAAACCAGACTGCTTTAAAGTTTTACACAAAGATTCTTACCGGATCTCGAATACAATACAGATTGTGCAGGAGAGGCTGATAAATCAGGATAACGTACACAAACCAAGAGAAACATCAATTTATTATGGAAAAACAGTACATTCCTCTTATTCTCCATCTGCCTATGTGATTGAGTGAGTATCTTCAGACTCTGTCAACCGACTGGCCCAATATTTACATCCCGCACAGATGCTTGTTTTCCTGTCTTTTCCTTCCAGCTCTGTCTCAATCCATTCTTCCTGTTTTCATTCATAAACTCTGCCTGTCCCACAGCTGGTTTTCTTTGGCTGCGTCTTGCTAAATCTCCCCCTACGGTCAAGCTGAGGTCCATCAAAGGACTGTAACTGCAATAGAATAAAGATCCAGAGAAACCGCCACGTATCTACTGGTGCTGACTGGGCTCGACTTGAGTCTCAAACACGAGATAGAAAATGTCCCACTAAGACTTCTCCATTTTAGCCGGCTTATGGCTTCACCTCAGCGTAGCAGCTATGTATTATGCTTTCACCTTTTTCAAATAGAATTAGTGCAAATCAGTGGGATGAAGTTAAATAGGAAGAAAGTGCTAATTTGCTCTTTTTTGTCATGAAGTTTGATTAGAAGATCAACACCAGTCACAGGAAGGCAAGGGATGGCTAGCTTAGCTTAGCATAGCATAAAGAATGGGTGAATTTTCCAGCCTGGCACTGGCTTCAGTGACTCTTAGAAATGAGATATTGTGTCAAACAACACAGCTTACTGATGGAAACAATGAGCTTACTGATGGATGGGCTTCTTTTCCTCGCCCTCGTCTCAAGTATTCATGCTAAGCTAATCAGATACTGTAGCTGTATATATAGCACACATGCATGATAGGGACATTGATCTTCTCGTCTAACTCTCGGCATGGAAGTGATTATGAGCGCGTTCTCCAAAATGTCCCACTGTTCCTTTAGAGGATAATGAAGACAGATGGAGGGATGATGTGGATTTTTCTTTTCTCCTCCGTCAGAGGCCCCGGAGGAGACAAGCCTCTTGAAACAATGACAGCCTGTTGATCAAATCAGCCACAGAGCAATACAAAGACGGAATAAGTCTGCTTTGTCCTTTAACAGATTGGGGGTTGGGGGGCTTAAAAATGATCAGTCAGCGGTAATGCATCCGGCTGATGTCACCCTTTTGACCTTCTATCCGCATTTATATCTAGCCTTCCTCTGGTTTTCCTGCTCCTTCAACTCCACGAATATTCCCATCATGCACTGCTCAATTCCGTGTCGCCCTCTCTGTCGCTTTCAGAGGCAGAATAATGGCAGAGTGGCTGCGGATTGTTTGAGCTTTACCACACTGCTAAACACAGGAACCATCTCCTCTTCTACGAGCAGACACATGAGCACTCCCACAGACCATACACGCACACGTATGACATGTATGCAACTAACAAAGCCACTGTCACTACCGAAAGCATAATATCGGCTCAATTTGTATCGTTTTTTCCCTTTATTAGTAATTTATTAGCCAATAAAAGAAACTACTTTGACACCACTTTTTAAGGCCAAAGCCACTGGACTCGTGCCAACTGGTGGTTTAATTACACTATAAAGAACTAGTGGAATTGGAAGATGAAACAAAGCGTCTCTCATCTGACATGAAGAAACAACCGTATGAATCAACCAAAATAACCTGTTGTATTGCGGGCAAACTGTGTAGTTTCAATTTGACGCATCAGTGTCAGAAGTAGAATCAAAAGAAGTATAACACATAGTTCAGGTCATAAAGACGAAGGGGACAACGGCAACGCACCCGAAGCAAAAGGGAGTTCATCGCTACAAACCTACAAACTGTTTTTGTGTTTGTGGGAGGAACTTTCAACAACTGATCATTGGGATTTGACCAATTTGTGAACATCCTGCTGGGAGTCGTTTGGGATCACTCTCAGGTCTGTAGGAAAAATATAAAGCGACCGTCAGCTGGACATAACCCCCTACAATCCACAAAGGATTGAGTTTATACTAAAGTGTTTTCAATGATTAAACACACATGTGGTTACTCGGCTTTAGAGGTGCTGTTAGGAGAAGCTGGCCGGGTTCCCCCTTCTCCAGTCTCAATGCTAAGCTGCTGCCGGCAGTGGTTTCATATTTACAGTTTGTCCCATTGCCAAAAGTCAACTTTTGAGTCTATTTGCATTCTGTCAAAGGCTGCGAGAGCTTTCAAATGAATACCAACAGCGCTGCGTGGCAGCGGGAGAGCTCCACCAACGAATCTTGGACGTCTCCCAGTGTCTAGGCAGAAGCTGTGATTGAGGAGCGCAACACTGGTTGAATCAGGCCGGTCTGGCGGTGAGGCTGAGACAAAGGCTTGGTTCAGCCCCGTGAGGGGAGGGAAGGGGTTGGGGGGAGTAATGCTAATGTACTTTGGAGATAGTGAAGGGGGTAGAGAGGAGGAGTGGACGTGGGGTAATGCATTAGGGTCAGTGGGTCGCATTCTCTCATAGGATCAGATGACATCACCGCACGGGGGGGAGGGGGGATGATAGGCGCCGCAAAGTCAAATTACCGCTCTGCAACATATGATGAAGAGGCTTTTATTGCACAGGGAGGCCAACGCACTGCGGTGCGGAGTCCTGTGTGTGTGTGTGTGTGTGTGTGTGTGTGTGTGTGTGGAGACCTACATTAAGGCATCAAAGCAGACACACGGCCGAGCCACTGTGAGACTAAACATAGAAGCGAGGACAAGGAGAATCCGTCCCTGCTCTCCGCTCCCCAGACCTGTGATCCATCAGGTCTGAGCTTTCAGCCTTGTTTGTGTTTCTTAGGGCGGCTGCTGCTGCCGCCGGGTGCATGTGTGTACAAGGCGTGTTTGTATGTGTGTTGTCTGTCTGCGTGTGGCCCCGGTCTCCTGAACCCTGACCGCGGAGGGAGCGCGTGGGAGACGCATATCAGCTCCAGAGCCCGGGGGAATATCGGACGAGGTGAGGACCAGAATGGGAAGAAATGGGGTGCTCGCTTTTTCGAGTGGACAGTGGAAGACGTACGAGGTGTGGAGGAAGGGAAGGGGAGGAACCAGCGTTTCCTGACCATTTAGGTTCATGCACTTGATGTGCAGGAAGGGCATTAAAACAGAAGAACAGAGAAAGCCAAGCAGAGGTGGAAGCAAGAGCATTGACACGATTCAAGTCTGAACCCACGTTTGCTCACAGCCAAACTGACCACGAGTGTCGCCCGCTTTTCCTCGACTTTCCCCCCCCTCGACCTCTTCTCCTACGGCCCATCACTCACTTTCTTGCACCATTTCCTTCCTCTCTTCTCTGTCTCTCACTCTTTCCTGCACTCCTGAGTCAGCACAACGGCCCGCCGCCTGGCTCTTAACCAAATCAACCCTTTGCGGGAGCACCTTTGCCTTTCATTACGATAAAAGCTCTGGCAGACACACACGTGCACGTTGACGAGAGGGAAGAGGGGGGGGGGGTATAAATGGATTGAGTCCGTGCTCCAGCCTCCGGGAGAACCGATGCCCGCAGATATTCACGGCTATGTCTTTCTCCAGGTTCTGAGTAAGCGTTACATTAAGTGAAGAGCACTTGAAGAGGACTGGAATTAAAAGTTAAAAGGGCAAGAAAAATGGATTTAAAATGCGGGAGAATGAACAGAAAGACGAGATTGAGATGATCTCACGACTGGTTTGGGTCCGCCCTTATCTGCTGACCGCCGGGGTTACAGTGGTCGGGGCAATGGGGACAAGAAGGAGCAGCCAGGACACCAGAGCCGGACACCGGCGGCATTTTCTCTGGCATTTCTCCAAAATCACACATAAATCTTCAGTGATACAAACTACTGGTTTCTTCTCACCATTAATTGCGAACAGAGGATACATTTAAAAGAAAGGAAAATAGTGACCCAGTCTGGGACTTGCCGTTCAGCCTTAGAGAGAGCGGCTGGTGGCAAAATGTAAAATGGTGAGCCTCAGAATTAACTAACGGGTAGTCAAAGAGATCCTCTGTCTTTGCATGCCGGAAAACCATTTTGTGGTCGCTGCGTGAAGAGGGTTGGGGAGGGGAGGGGGGGGGGAAAGGAGGGAGGGGGGTGAACTTCATAGTACAATGTTTAAAAAATAAAAAAGCCCATAAAAATGACTAAACTATTTAATTAAAAGTCTTGACTCATAAAACGCATTCTCCATTCTTTCAAAATTGGGTGAAATGGTGAAAAGGGCGGACTAATTAAAAACGTAGTATGTTAGTCAAACAGTAAATTTCATAAAATCTACCAAATTGCACATTTCCTTTTCCCAAACAAGCTACATCCAGTAACTGAATGAATAAATTGGAACAAACACCTAAATCAATTGCCCTCCTTTTCCCATGTTCCCAACTCCTTTTGTATGATTTATAACAATCAACAGTTTAATTTCTACATTTATTTCCCTTAAAATAATATTTGATTTGCTATTTTTAATGCCTGCACTTTAACTTCTGCGCTACAATTTGACTTGATTGATCATTTGTGGTGCACATGACAAATACATGACTTTGCACATCACCTCAATCCTTTCCCACTGAAGCTGTAGCAGAAGCGATTGGCCAAGTGTACAAATTGTGCACCTTTCCTGTTCCAGGAAACAGTTGGGAAATTGTACAAAAGGGTTTCAAAATATCTTTGTCTTTCTCGTGACTTGGTCTTCCCCTGTCCTTGTCTCCTCTGAATCGCATGCAGACACACACACACACACACTCTGACAAACACTGTGTGTGATTGATTAAAATTCCTTGCCCAGGAGGCAATCTGACAGTGTGACCACCTGCTGGGAAGGGAGAGCAGGGGGAGTTTTGGGGGGGTGGGGGGAAATCCCTCAGGGGACGGTCAGTCAGACACAGCGGAGTCCCGGTTCGTTAATGCTTGTCCCTCTACGAGTGACCGAGCAACGGAGAGAGAGAATACCGATGAAGTTAAATAATGGACTCCATTTCTAATGTCCTCTTGCGCGTGTGCGCGCTGGCCCAAACCCAAGTGATAAACCACGGCCCGGCAGTCACCACCGAGCGGCCTCTGTCCCGGTAAACGAGATGGATGCTTCCCGTCACCATCCCATTGTGGCCGGACAGGAACGTCTCCCTCACGTTGCAGGATGTTAAATGCAGACGCAGAGTCTCACTTCCTGTTTGCCCAAGGCAAGCGGATCGGGTGTCAACCCTGCTGTCGTCAAAAAAGAGAACCCCCATCACCTTCCTTTGCTCCCATCATCCCCCTCTCTGCAGCCAGCAGGCCACTGACCTTATAAATGTACTATGTGACAGCTAACATCTGGTCGAATCCACGGGGGCGAGTCGGGGCGCCGTGTGGTCGTCTAAGAATACTGTACACGGCTCAGAGTTGGATATTCGCAAACATTGATTGATTGAAGGGACTACTTGAATAAGCAATTATTTCGTCTCATTTTAATACCTGCTCCTGGGAACGCTCAACTGCACAGAAAAAAGCTTCCGGACACATTACTAGTTGAATGTTAGATCACTCACTCGTTTCTCTCCAGGTGGAGTTTGAGCTCCCGGCCCTCCGCTGAGAGCAGAACCTGAGCCTCTGCAGGATGCTGGAGGGGAAACAGATATTTCAGGAAGTTGTGAAGCTTGCTCACATATAGATCTGTGGCGGTTTTCTTTTTTTTTATTACGGACTCGCCTCGTTGCTGTCGGACCTCCTGTGTCTGTGAGGATGCAGCCATGTGGGATAAGTAATCTCATAACTGTGTACGTGATCAAGGATGCTCCTCGGGGAACCCTGCTTATTTCCTCCTGATGAAAAACACAAAGAGAAACGAGGGATACATTTGAAATCCCCCATTGGTTGGGACATGCACTTAAACGACCTATTGCATTCCCCCTCCCCCCCCCCTCCTCCAGCATGCCATCTGACTCACCGCCTTCCGATGGAGCGGCGGCTCCGGCACCGCGGAGGAGAACCACGAGACACAGCAGCCCCAGAGAGGGCTGCGCGGCGGCGGCACGCGCCCCTGGACGCATCCTAACGACGAGCGGCTCCGTATCAATCCGCCAAACTGAGACGCGAACGTGCGACGGACGCCCCTCGGCTGCTTCTGGGCGGGTTGACGCGGGGGCGCCACCGGTGGGACATCGCGACGGGCCGCTCGTTTGGCTGAGTCGCTCGCGGAGTCCGCGGGGCGCATCGTCCCCTTTCTCGCTCTCGACCACTCCCCTTTCATCATCATTACTCGCGCGCACGCGAAGGGAGGAGGAAGGGAGGAGGAGGGGGGCGCGCTTTGAGCTCGCGAGCGGCGGAGGTGAGGCGAGATAAGAACCGACGGGGGGTGAAAAAGGTCCGAGTGATGGACGCTGGGGTCCCCGATGACCCAGAGACGATGCGGAACCCCTCGCTTTATGGCTCGCTTTTTTTTTGGGGGGGGGGGGGGGGGGTAAAATAACCTAATAACTTTCTAATCATTCGATAATGAAAAATACGCCATTATTCACTCTACAAGCTGAAGGTTTCGTTTTATCATTAACAAGAGACGTGAAAAATAAATTAAAGACCGACTTTTAGTCATTGCTTCAAGCTCCAAGGACGGCGGATAACTCGTTTACCATATTGGTTAGTTTGCACACATTGCCTGCATGGTCAATTTCTAAATCGTATGAAATGACGCAAAATGTCTGTAAATTTGTGGTCTCGGATTTTAAGTCGAGAAAACCCTGATGAAAGTTTTCATGACTTCATGAGAAATAAAAACACGATCGTGTGGAACAGAGTACAGTGTTGAACGTTGCATTTTCTCAACGTTGGCAGAATGTTAACAAAAAGAAAAATATATATTTTATGAAAAATAAATAAATCTAAATACCACCTTTTGAATGATTAGAATCGGTGGTTATTACTCAGCTGTTTCAGCTTAGTGGCCTTGCAGCAATGTTGGAATCACTTTGTTCTGTGGATCTTTTTTAGTAGATGTCCCGGCCTACATTATCATTTCCCCCCAGCTTGCTTGCTCGTAATGAACAACCTCATACAAAAGCCGCTTGCTACACTACGATTCATGGACATACAGCAGTCATTTAAAAAGATATTGAAGGACAACTTCACTGATGTTGTGGTTTGTTTTTTTTACAGACCAGGATTAAGTTTAGGCCCCGCATGTAACCACATGCCCCCTTTAAATAACCGCACCACTTGCCTCAACGTGTTCTGGTTACCGAGATAGCTCCCTGCTGTAAGGCCATTTGTCGAGTGATTGTGTGTGTCGTCACTGGTCCAACTGGTTTCAGTTAATGTCATTAAGAAAAGAGCTTCTACAATCAGAACGTGTTTTTGTACACCATAGTTCATATTAAAGAGGTCTTATTGAAACAAGCAGGCTCTAGAGAGAGAATTGGCTGGAGAGTTTTTTTTTATAAACATGGTCAGGAGACCAAAAATACAACTGATACCTGAATGTAACCGAGCTTACTACGCAGTATCAGAATACAGTCGGCTTCAGGCTTCCAGCAGCCATTCATACTGAGCAGGTCATTTATGAGCGCAATGATAAATATGCCACATGTCAGAGGTGTGCGTGTGCGCAGGGTGTGTGAGGTATTCTTAGCCCCGATGACAGTGCCGGCCGCCAAAAATTCATTCACATCTCTAAATGGTGTCCTGGCTGCATGACAACGCCACTTGTTCCTGCCAAGGTATTGGTTTCAGCTTTACTCTGCTTACTCCGCCCTCAGATCGGTTCCTCTTTTACAAACTAAGTGATATTGAACTCTTTGCAGAAGAGCGTTCCAGAATAAGTACAAGTCAAAGAATAGGAACCTGAACAAAAAGGCTATTTGAGATTCAGAATCGCCGCTGTCCAAAAGATCAAGTGATGGTAGTGTTTAAATGTCATTCAGGATATTGATACGTTTTGGGAAAAGCAACCGTAGCAGAGCATGGATCCGATTCCCTCGGAGCATGACAGGCATCTTCATCAATTTAAGCAGAAAACCTCCTACTTTGTGGGAAAATCATGACTGAAGTTTAATACCCAATAGTAAGACTATGTTCCAGCTGTGAGAAAAGCAATCGTACACAGTCAACCATCCCAGGCTCGAGTCTCAGAAAAAGCTCTTACTGGGGATTCAAGGGGCATTACGCTTCATTCATGGGTAGCTGTCATTCTGTCTGACACAGTTGTTCAGTCCACATCAGGCTGCTCCAGCACGTGTCCACTGCAGTCACGCCTCTCCTCGGTGCGGACATTTTGTCCTACGGCAGCGCAGGAGCCGTCAGCAGTTGTCGTCGTCCTCCAGGACGTCCGGGTGCTCCTCCCAGAACTGCTCTCCTATGATGTCTCCGTGGTGGGCCTGCACACTCCTCCTGCTGCGGGTCACCGCCACCTCCTTCTCCTCTCCCGTTGGTAGCTTCTGCCGCTTGGTGACAGTTTCGTCTCTCTGGACAAAAAGAATGAGGAGTATTCGTAGTACCATTTGAAATCCAATTGAAGGGGGTATAACAACATCATTTTGCAGCACAAGGCCAATGTTGGTTTTATGGCCAGACAACATTATTACCGGTTGCATTTTCAAATTCTCCTTTAAACTGGACAGGTAGATGTAAACCTGTTTAACTATTTCCACAGTCATTTTAGAAAGGATCCATGGCAACAAGAGCCAGTAGGTGGCAGGACTTTCAACAGCCCGGAGAAGAGCCACTGGATCCCTGCCAATATGTCCTGCTAGATTTGTCACCTGAGGTGGCAGCTGCACACAGCATGACCCACAAACCAAGGTTTTTCTGGCAACAAAGTGTTTGTTGTCGAAAGAACTCTTTGGGAATGAAAAATATTGCCAAAGTCTCATAGGACCAAAAATACTTTACGGTTCTGTTGCAAGATTGGACTAATCAGACAATCATGAACTATGAATGAACTATTTCACTATTGCTCGATCACTTATATAAAATGCAGTACGGAAGCATTCTGTATATTTAACAATGATACAAACCACTTTTTGGGGCATGCCATGTTTTTCACTGTCACATACATACATACATACATCAGTATGTATGACAATCTGCTGGTTTGTCTTGTAAGCTGCTTGAGATTTTACGTTTTTATTTACTCCAAAATATTCATTATTTTGTCATTGGGCAATAAAGTAGAAGCAGGCAGTTGATAAGTTGAAAAACAACATCAATCAGCAACATAATGGCAACTGTTTATATGATAAAGGAAAGCAGTCTATGCAGCTCCTTTTAGCAAGATATTATCAATTTTCAGTGAAAATGTTACCTGTAAGCAAAACTGGGTCAACATTGACCGAAAAATGGACATTTACGCTTTTATGACTAAAAAAGTAATTAATTAACAAAACATCAACAAGTTATGTTTTGATTTTGCATTTTTTTTCACAAATGCTCAAAATCTTCTACTGATAATTTCCAAGCAAACAGAGGGACGGTCCTATGTGGTCCGACAGAAGCCCTGTCGAGAAGACAGTGACTAAAGTGGAAGTAGATGACATTTGAGGTGGAAGTGGCTGCATTAAGGATGTCAAACCTTTCATCATACTTTGACAATCAAAGATCTCCAACATCAGTCATCAAAGAGAAATTTTGATGTAATAATTGTGCTGAATTAACAGTCTTTGTAGCAGCTCACCTTTTCCCAGATGAGAGTGGTGCCTTTCCTGTGAAGGGCCGGCTCAGTGTTGTAGTTGATGTCAAACTCGGAGAACAGGATCTCGTTTTTGTCTGCGGCTAATGTTCCCTAGAGGGAGATATTACACAGTTACTGATTAGACTTTTATGTTATGAATAAATCATAAGTAAATGATGGGCGCACAATACACCACAGACATGCAGACACAGCTGTATCTTCAACTGCATTCCCCTGACATCCAGGACCGTGGCTTCCTGATAACTGATTACATATATTGATATCATTAATACAAACTAAAGCTTACAGAGGCAGTAGAGACCTTTAAGGAGGAAAAGACTAGACACCTGCAAATAAACCAATTACTTTAACAAGTGAATCAGTATCAGAAAATGTTAGTATGCATCACAAAGTAATTAAAATGTCTTTGAAGTGGCTTGGAGATTTGAAAAAGATGCAAAAGGAAATGTTTTGCATTTTGTTAGTAGCAACATTGAAACCTTAAATGTGAGTACACAGCGTTATGACTTTCATAAATGGTTTATATACAGGGGATTTTTCTTAAAGATCTTAGGGATGGTTGGAGTCGCTGGTTCAACATGTTCGAGATGATCATACGTGTGTAGTTTATACAATTAAACAAGTGTCTAAAATACACACTTTCTAAAGTGATTACTCATTACTTGTAAGATTTTGTCTTTGGAAGAAAAACAAACTTAATCGCGATTAATGAATTTCAAAATGTGCGATTCATTATTTATTTACTTTTAATCTATTGACAGCACTAATTCAAAGTAATAAATATAAAAAGGAGAATAATCTCGCTTTTGATATCATAACACACATTGTATATTTGTGTAAACACACCCGTCTGTACATTAACTTTAGACTGTGATGCGCTCTCACCTTTAAGCGATCTTCTGCCTGGTGTGTGGTGAGTCCTCCCTTTTGTACTAGAGTCCAAAACACTGTGTTGTACAAATTATTTATGTGACCTGAAAGACATAAAAACATGTGTGCAGTTGTCTGATTAAAAAACAGGCACATCTAGAAGTCAAACACATGATCTGTAAAACAGTTAGAACACAGTGTGCACATACAATCTGCTTGCCTCCAGCTGAGGTAGTCTCTGAGGTTGCGGTTGCTGGGATACAGGACCACACGCCCATCAAAGCCCGGGGGGTACAAGAGAGGCTGCTCTCCAAAAAACTCCTTCCAGTAGAAGACATATGAGGAGGAGAACTGGGAGGCCACATGCGTCATGAGCTTACTGCCAGAAAAGAGAGAGGAAAAGTTCATTTAAAAGCACAAAACAGCTTGTGTGGGTTTGACGTTGGCTGATTTTTACCTGGATCTCCTCTTAAACCAAGAAGAGCTCCTCTTGAAAACAAAGCTGAACTCATCACTTTGACCGTAAGCGATAACAATATCCTCTAATTCCTCCATAACGGAGCGTGCGCTCCGAGTCATCAGGTCCAAAGCCCGGTTATCATTGGGCTTCATGAACTTGTGCTTCTCTGCGAACCTGAAACCAAAAGCACGATGATAATCAGAAAGACAGAATGGTGCATCATCTTTCATATCATCATATTATTCATGTCCCCACAGCTGGAAGAGGAAACTCACTTGTGAAAGTTGCGGCCATCCAGCCTCACAACAATGTAGCAGTTTCTCAGACAAGTGTCGTCTGTTTCGAAGTTGCGGACGTACTCAAACTTGCTCTTGGCCATGTTGCTGGGAGCGGAAAAAAGACGGGCCAGAGGTTGGAGAACACAAGACCTGACACGTCCACCGAATCCAAAGGCCTTCCCAGTCAGCATTAGGGTGCTCCTGAAAAGGACCAAGAAAAAGGCACACACATAATATACTTTAAAAACTAATTTACAGCGGGGACATTATATTACACATTTTAAAAAAGTACACATCTTTATTTAGGTCACATCCCAACTCTCCTTAAGGCTGCAATATTAGTGTTTTCTGCGGTGTGATGTGATGGATACTGGAAAACTATCTTGCTTTCAAAACATGTTGTACATAATTCCTAGTGGCTGGTAAATAAATAAATGCGTCATGTTTGGAAAATGAGTTGGTGGCAGTTGCACTATATTCAGAAGTAGCAGAACACTAATACATTCGCTATATTAATCCTGCCCTGCTACGTGTACCAGCATTACATGTTTGCGCTTAACGACTTTAAAACGTAATTCTGTGCTGTCTTAAATTAAATTAAAAAAAACATATCCAACTCACTACGGGGCTAATGACGCGATGACAGGTGAAGCGGGTCCGTGTGACCATCTTTGAGGCGTTAGCGTTACTTACGGCCGGATGTCCCGCGTCCCCGCAGAAAGCAGCACGTTAGCAGACGTTTCTCCGTGGTTTGTTTTCATGCGTCGACGCTTCCCGAGTTAGAACAAACACGAATGTGTGAAATAGTGAAGGAGTAACACAGCACTGACGTCACCTTGTGTTTACATCTATCCTGAGACAATTGTCAGGTCACGCACGTTGATTTGTACATAGTCCGTCAACGATTGATGTCGTAGTGAAGCCGCAAACCACCAAATAAAGGTTCCGGAGCGAACACCTTCTGTTCCTATATTCATTATATAGTTATCAAAATGTGTTTTCTGTGTATAAATTACACTAAAAAACGCTCAGTTTTCTCCTCCCTGGACTTGAAAGCCAGATAAGTATCCCAATTATTTAAAGAGCGAGGTTTGTTAAACCCAACTGCTCTGTAGAGAAATTTGACATTTTATGGGGAAAAAGTACCAGAGAAAAAAATATTACTCATACAGCTCTATATTAGTATTTGTTAGTAACTCTGCTCCTTTGCTTCGCCGTGGACTCATGTCACAATAAAGGTTGATTTTACTTTGTTGACTTTAAACCAGAGGAGACGTGTCATACTGCTTTTACGGAATCATAAGCACCTGCTACCTGGAAGGGAATCTGATCATTTAAACTCATTAAATGCCATCAGTTTACTCAGGCTAAATGACTTTTGACTTTTGAAAGGATTCAGGAAATTAATCAAATCTACAACTAAAAAGCATATTTTGTATTTCAAGATGAAGTCTCTCTGCCACTAACTTATCCAAATCCTCCCTGACGGTGTGCATATGACCATAGATCCAGAGGTCACACTGAGGGGTCACAAGACAGATAATACATTAGCAAAGAAGAAAAGAGAGTGAATTAAACTTTTTTTTAGGAAGAAAATGTAAAACATATTGTAAATTCTTCTCGGTGGCAATGTAACGAGTAAATTTCATTGGAACACAGCATTTGACCAACATTGTGTCGTGTATCTTGGCCCTTGGTCTACCCATTCGATTTGGGATTGACTTCTGACTGATTCTCCAAAATGATGCTTAGCATTTAACAACAATAAACCAAACATCTCTTTTATCTACCTGTCATCATGTATTTGCATGCTCACTCCTCCACGAAATAAAGATAACAAATAAATACACAATGTATATTATCGTTCTATTTGAAATCCGGAAGCATGAATCCATATAAAAAGCAATAAAAATAAATACAACAAGACTAGATATAAGAAAAGACATACAGACATGAGCAGTTTGAGGAACGATACGATTGGCTGAGCTCGCCCGTCACTCTCTCGAGTGGAGCCTCTTGATTTGACGCTGGCAACGGAACGTTCACAGTACCCTTGATGCGCGGTTCTTACAACAATAAACCAATATAAACGGTGTTTTAGCGCCACCGTGTGGTTGTGGAGAGAAAGTGGAAACCAAAGATCGTGTGTATGTAACAGATGACCCACGCTGTAAGTCCACTTAAAGGCTCGGCGGTTTTCTGGAGAAATTCGTTAGAATTGTTCCACGGATGTGGATGTTATGTAATTACTAGTAAATGATTACAGGAAGAGAAATACAGAACAACATTACAGAAACGCGTCCGGGATTAAAAAGCTCCACAACACTCGGCTGCTCGTATCTCCGACGTGTTGGTGTCCTGTCATTGGGGCAGAGTGACACCTCTCCCCCCCACCTCCGGCAGCTATTTACCGGAGACTCTTCCCGTCACCGTGTGCGGCTCATCTGCCCCCGTTTTCAAACATGGAAGAGAGGGAAAGAGAAAGCGCAAAGTCGGACGTCAAAGAAACGGCAGCCTCGGGCGTTTCGACCACACCACCGCCGCCGGGGCGCGAGGCCGCGCCGGCGGCGGCGGCGCAGCGCGAGGCGGGCGACGGTGACGCAGACAAAACCGACGTGTGCTCCGGTAACTTCGACCCGCTCGTGGCGCTGTACGCGCCCGCCGTGCCGCTGCCCTTCCCCAACATCAGGGGCTTCAACAACGTCGCGGCGTACGAGAGCTTCATGAAGGGCGGCCGGGGCCGAGCCAAGCCGGAGAACGTGGAGAAGAGGCGACGCAAGGCCATGAAAGGGGTCGCGGACCCGGAGCGCATCGCGAGGCTGAAGAAGCTCATCGTGAACAACCCGGTGTCGGAGACCGGGGAGAGCAGCAGCGGCGGCGGCGGCGGCGGGCGCAGGAGGAGGCAGAAGCCCCAGAAAAACGTCCTGACGAGGATGCCCCGTAGGTTCTTTTACCCCCGCTAATAGCGACGTCAGCCGCTATTAGCCCCCCCCCAAGTTAACCCCGCTTTGGTCGGGGAGGGCAAGTTGCGCCCAACGCACGGGGCCGATCGCAGCCCCTCCAGTAAAAGGTCACGACCCTGTCTATGGTTCACACGTCTCCCGTCATTACCCCAGTTATTTATTCAACGTCATCTATATATGAGACAAAAGTGACATTATCCCGAGGCCCTGATGTGATTGTGTGAATATGGATATTTAGTAGAGTCCATGAACATTAGTTGGATTCCTCATTGAATCATCTGATGTTGTCATACGCCTCCATGTGAGGCTCCTGGGTTTGTTCTCGACAGTAATATCACTCCAAAGTAAAACCGCTGGACGCTGATATTTGTAAAATCATTTAGTTCAACAGAAAATTCAAAAGTTGCTGATTTGAAACCGGAAAAATAGCAGTGAATCCTCTTAACTCACAATCTGGAACAAGAGATTATCTGTTCATCATCCGATTTGAAAGGTTCAATTTTTAGCCTGAACCCTCCGATCTCTTCTGATTGGCAGAAATGCTTTTGTGGGTTGCAGAGGCGCTTGTGTAACCCGCCGCTCTTGTGTCTTCAGTGTGTAAAGGCAGTCCGATGGGGGAGCTTTACAGGTGCGTCGAGGAGAGGATAAGGGTCAAAGTTCACATCAGGACCTTCAAGGGACTGCGGGGAGTGTGCTCTGGCTTCGTCGTGGCCTTCGACAAGTTCTGGAACATGGTGAGCTTTCTCGCCGGTGGCTCCCTGCGCCCACGGCGCCCCGATGTTGCCGTCCGCTCATTGGTCTTGACTTCTCCTCGTCAGGCGATGGTCGACGTGGATGAGACGTACAGAGAGCCGCTGCTCGGGGAGGCGTTCTACCATGAAAAGGCCCTCACCATTTCACGGGTAGGCCCGTTTTCTGATGTTTATATGAAATACACCACTTACTCTGCAACGGTGCAAAAATCACAATCTAATTCAGTGTTTTGAGGAAGAAATAAGTCTGAAAATGCAAGCGGGATTCCAAAAGACGGCCGCGGACCGTAAAAGTCACTCATTGCACGCAGCTCTTAAATGTACTTTCCTGATACATTACTCGCTGAAATATTTAAAACAAAAGGTTTTTCTCAAAAATGCTTTTCTTGTTTTGCTCTGACATTTATGGTTCTACATTTTGCCGCCGGTGGCAACCGAACAATTGCCTTGTTTCCTTTTACTGCTTCACATTAAAAGCTGCATTTTCAATAATCTGAAACTATCAGCAGGAAGCAAGAAGTGTTGTTTGCCAGAAAAAAAAGGACAACCATAAATATAAAAAATCCCACCCAAATTGGAGGTTTGATTTCATGGTGATGTGACTGTGGTCCGTGCAGCTCTTTGAGAAGCTGAAGCTGCAGGAGAACCCGGGAGAGGAAAACCCCGACGCCCGGAAAAAGGCCAGCGAGCGTCGGCCGGCGAAACCCGGAAGCCCCCCGGAAGAGCAGCCGGGGAGGGGGGGCGCGGGGACGGAGGCGAAGGCCCCGGGCCGTCCGACGAGAGGCTCCCAGAAGTACGGAACGGTCCACACGCGCCACATCAACCAGCTTTTCATCCGGGGGGAGAACGTCCTCCTGGTTAACCCACAGCCGCTCTGACTGGTATCTTCGGTCGCATCTCGGCGCCGGGCGCGAGAGGCCGGGCAACTTCCTGTCCAGATTGAGTTTCACGCTGGAACTTGATACCGGATATTTGATTTGGTCAGATTTGGGGGGGGGCGAAGTGTTGTATCATGTTGATACGGAGGTTCGTTCCTCACTGCGCCACCAGAGAATGGTCATGATTTTGAGGAATAAAAGCTTCTCAGTGTTAACAGTATTCATTTCTTTTTGTGCCACCGATATGCTGCAACAGCTTCAAACACCTGCCCCTGTGTTCTGATTATTCCCCAGCAGGGGGCAGCATGAGGGCATTAGTGCCTTTGTCATCTCACAGAGCTTGTCCCTTTATGTTGCTCTTCCAGTTAGTTTGAACAGGAACGACAGCGCAGTCTCAGCGGACTTCATAAATGCATTATGAATAATTGAGTTTGTGAAGCTGGAGATTGCAGATGGCACTCAAAAGCTGTCATTTGTCTTGACGTCTCGGATTGCTTTTACTCTTTAATGGGCACATTACCCATAAAAGCACAATTTACTGCATCTCGTCGAAGTTGTAAAGATGTTTTTTTGTGTTTCCAGCGGCAGAGGTTACGTCGGCATGATCAACGGCACAGAATGATCTCATGATGTTCTTTCTGGGTCTGAAAGTCTTATTTTAGTTTTTCTTAATTTGATTACAAATTTTAATTGACCCTCTTTCTAAATATTGTCATGCCATAAATGGGACAAATTCTGGCGGTAGTTGGTGTGTGTATACGGTTACTTTTCACATATATATTATTAGTGTAGCCCATTTAACAAGCTTTGTCTCCAGAGAGCAAAAAACGGGGTCAATTGTTTAATGCAAGCTGTGTTTGTCTCAGTGTGTTCCAACAAACCTCGATACAATGTGAGAAGTCCCACAAATAGACTGCACACCACCTTCCTCCTGCGTGTATTATATGAGAGTAATCAGGTCAAACTGTACATTTCATCAGCTGAATGATATCGAAGGACACAAAGTGAAAACACTTCTTTTGGGCTTAATTTCCAAAAGCCACTGCAGCGGCCTTAATAAGCCAAACGCTTCAGTGTGGTGAATTCATCAGCTCATCTGCATTATTGTTCAACCTGCCAACAGGCCGATGTATCGTGGAGCTTTCTTTGTCAACTTCTGTCTTTGAGGTAATAAACTCTCATTATCTAAATGTAATTTCGGAGTCGTCCGCGTTGGCTCCACTTTTGCTGCTTGAAGCTCTTTTGAATGAGGCTAATGACACAGCACAGCAAATAACACACACCATTAACACATCTCAATCAACGGTTTAATGTTGTAGATAAAGAATCAATGTGTAAATCAAATCGAAATGGGAACAATGCAAACATTTCATTTTTCTCAAAAGGGATTCTCTTAACATTTGCATACGCTAGTGTTTCAGTAACAATCCCATTTTTAGAGAAGATCAAGTCAATTTGAAGTACAAAAAGAATAAAACAACCTCTACTGATATATATATATATTTTTTTTAGAAAAAACAGCAAACAGATTTTGGTCATTTTTAATGCTTCAGACTCCGACGCAAGGCTACGATGTGTTAGTGAGCTCAGCCTCTGGAGCCCCTGGGAGGGAGAGAGGGGGGCAAAAGCTTCAAGAGTGTCAATGCTCTCGGGGCTGCAGGATCCACCGCCTCCTCCTCTGGTCAGTGAATTATTCATCTAATCGTTGACGTACTAAAAAAAGGTTTAGGCAGCCAGAATTTATTCATCACTCATTACAAGGGTCAGGAGGAAAACCACCGGCAGGCACTTGAACCGCTGAGGAGCAGCGCGGTGAGTGCGCGGACGAACAGGATCGCTCAACATCCTGCGTGTGCCTGACTGCTAAAAAGGCGCTGATTTGAAGTTGAGCCTCGTGCATCTCCAACTTTCCTTGGCGTTATCGCCGACCCGAATGAAGCGGGACCACTGAAGTGTGCTTGGGACAAACGAAACGATGAGCAAAATAATGGTACGATTGCATTTGTGCAAACGGGGACGCGTGAGGCTTTTGTACACGGTACAGAAGCTGCGGTCTGCTTGCGAGCCTTAACACTGTCCCACTTGGAAGGAGGTTAACTGAAGAAAAACCAGCCAATGTCTTTCAGGCACTCTGATCTCAAATTAAGAACCCTCAACCCCTGTATGAGGCTTTCTCCACCTACTGATTATCTCATTTGGATTATAATAGTCTTCATAAGTAAAATGTATAGATATATATATATATAGAGAGAGAGAGCGAGCAACAAGAAAGGCCACAAATGAGGGCGTGCTCAAGGAGAAACTCCTCGTATTAAATTGTCAACCTTCACTCCAAACGCTCCTTTATTACGGACAGGCCACATGTGGAGCCCGTAGACGCTTATGTACAAAGAAGAGTGTCGACGTGCTTTGTGATGGTCTGGAATCATATCACAAACCCCTCACACCGCCACTGCCTCTCTTCATAACTCCTTTTTAAAGGGCTCCAGATTTCTATATACAGGTCAAAGGAAGAGCAATGACATAAAAAGAGGTAACTCGAGATTCTTAAATGTACATTAGAAAGTTAAAAAGGCTGATCATGTTATTCAAAACGCAACATTTTGCAAAGTTACAGAGAAATAATTATGCAGCTACTGATTTTGTTTTGCTATTCTGGTCATTTTACTTGATTGAGGTTATAAAGCAAATCCCCCTGACATTCTGGCACTCTGCCTTCTTCTCAGTGACCTAAGTAACCAACGAGGCACACAGTGTGTGTGTGTGTGTGTGTGTGGGACTCTCATCCAAGACCAGACAGATCATTGGTTCAAACACAACACAAACGCTTCATTTAGATCCATATCACAACACGGCATTTCTAAAAATAAAAAAATAAAAATAAGGAGATTGCATGGTATTGGTATTATGAAAGTTGACATTATTCAAGTAATCTTTGTTTTCAGCTCATAACAATCCTTTACCATTGGACGGGAGGAAGGGGGGGGGGGGAGACACCGCGCACCGGATCTTTTCTCTCCAATTCTGTCACTTTCCAAAGTTGCCGAAGTCAGCGAAGGCGTCGTGTCTGGGCTGTTGGACCATTGCAGGGTTCATCCCCATCCCCGCAGCATTGGGCATCCCCATGGCCATCCCTCCTTGTGGCATCCCCATGTTCATGCCCATCCCCATCATGGCCTGGTTGGTGGCCATGCCCATCCCCATCATGGCCTGGTTGGTGGCCATGCCCATCCCCATGCCAGAAGCAGGGTGCATCATGGGATTTACAGGCGCTCTGACTGTCGTGGTTCCAATGCTCATGGCGGAAAACCCTGGGCAGAGCATGCTGGTCGGTGTCTGATTTCCTGGAAACGACAGAAGAAAAAAAAAGAAAAAACACTTAATACGAGCATTTGACTATTGGGGTACTTTAGAAAAAGGACAGCCTGGTTCCAGCGTCACCACTGATCTGCTGCTCGCCTCACCGTGTTGGAGGGTGTTGAGGGTGGGCTGGCTTTGCTTGGGTGGGTGCGCGCCAGGGCCCAGAAAGTCCAGGTTGATGTTAACCGAGGGGTCGGACCAGGTGGCAGGGAGAGCTGCTTTGGCTCCGGCCCCCTGAGAGGCCATTCCCTGCTGCATAGGCAGGAGAGACTGTGGTTGGAGAGGACCCCCCATGTCTGGTAGCGGCTGGCAAAGAAGAGAGAAGCAGAGTTAGAGAAAGAGGAAAAACCCACCCTCAAATAATAGACAGAAAAAAACTCACAGTGAAATACATGATGAGAAGTTAAAGTTCTTTATCATAATCCAAGGCCTCCGAAATCCCACTTAACCTCGGGCCCGTCAGAAGTCAGCGAGTGTCATCGGAGCTCATTAAAATACCATCTAAAATAACTAAAGGGGAATGGAGTGGTGGGCGTCTTCTTAGTAAAACAATAAAAGTTTCTCTTTTTTTAGGTCAACAACCTCTTAACATAGAAATGCAGTCGACATCCACAGGCTTTCTTTGGGCTTTTAATGTTTTTGTAACTCCAAAATTGATTTTTCTCATTCCGTGTGTCAGTAACAGGAGGAGTGGGCGGTTGGTGGGCGGTCTCTGGGGGAGAGGAGCATCTGGTGAGGCTGCGTGTTAACCCTCTACCATCACGCTCGTCCTCCATCTTTTAGTCAAACGAGGTATGTCTTCATTATAATACACATGCGGACTAATGTGGGTCATGTCAGTGGCAAACAGCGAGTAAATGTTATAAAGTGATTATATATTTCCACTGGAAAGCTACTTTAAATATGTAATTTCTCGAACTGTTAGGGGCCAATTTGTTTCCTACTTTATAAAATGCCATGACATGATTGAAAGGTTCTTTGTCCATATCATTACTCACAGTTCCCATAGTTGATGGCTGCGGCCAAATCAACAACACCACATGTCAGAAGATTACAAAATATCAATTCTAATTTAAATGAGTCGCCGGCTCAGCTGTCGGCGCGTTGAGAGGCACAGATACGCTCCGACTTTTCCAATGATCACCCTCAAAGAAATCGGAAATTGATGACCGTACAATGAGTATTTAGTTATTTAGTCATTTTTGTGATTGGACAGTTATAAAGATAGCTTTAAATCAGCATTATATCCTGTATCTTTTCTATCTAAAACATACGCCCAACTGTGATTAAAAAAACATGATCCCAAAATGCATCAGTCTAGCTCTGCATTCATAAAAAACTGAAATAATAAAGTGTGTCGTTATTTTCCTGTGTATACTTTGTTTCCACCTGTATAATTTAAGCACCCTTCATGAGTCTTGTAATGATATGTATATAAATTATTTAATAAAAAGTGTGTCTGTGTGTGTGCCTGAAGCGTGAGTGCAACCATGCATACCTGGGACCTCGACTGGGGCAGGACTGTGGCGCTCATGCTCTGTGTGCTGCTCATGCTAAAGTTGAGGCTCTGGGAGGAGTTGAAGGACTGGGTCGGCCCCATCAGGTCAAACAGGTCTGCTGAAGCCGGACCAGAGCCTGAAGCGGGGGCGGCGGCGGCGGCGGCGGCCGGAGCCGCCATAGCTCCGAAAAGGTCATTTCCACCGGTGTCAACAGTCTGAGCGGAGGCGGGTATCTGACCTCCGGGGAAGGCGTTCCAGTCTCCAAACTCTCCGTTGCTGCCGGAGGAAGGTGCTGCTAGGAACAAGAACGAGACAAAACAAAGTCAAAAGACGGTTGCACGAACGTCTTTATCTGCCATCTCAACAGTGAGGCTTTTTTTAATGTGGAAATGTGGAAATAATTTTCGCCGCAAACAAAAGCCACCGAAGGATTTGGAGCCGTCATATCAATTAAGAACACACAATTGAGTCTTCCGTAAGTCTTGCTCCATCCAGAGCATTCTCAGTGACCACTGGTGCCCCGCTTTAAATTTTCATTGAACTGGCCCCCGCTTGTTTGTCTCTCTGCCTACACTCAATCTCTGTTTCAGCTCCCCCCACCCCCACCAGCTCCGGCTGCTGTCCCAGTCTCCTTGTCATCCATAACACGAGTTGATGTGTGTCTGTTCTTGTTATGCAGAGCAGGTAGCAGGCTCCATATGGCCAAGTCTCCTCTCTGAATATTCTAGCAGTATGGCTGCAACAGCACAGCACACACATGCACGCACACAACAACAACAACAAAAAGTCTAGAAACCAACCCGATACTGAGGAGAGGCCGACGGCAGCAGGTGAGGAGAAGTTAGCAAATCCACTGATCAGGTCTGCATTGGGAAATAGACACAAACACATCCATTTTAAACAAGTGAGCTCCAGGTGTCATTCTACTGTAGTTAGCATGCCTTCAGTGTCAGAAGGGCATGGAGGGGCGGGGGGTGGCAGTGGATAGGTGGAGAGGACCAAACATCTGTGCAGTGCGCCCGCCCTCTCCATTCACTAGGGACTGCTCCAAAAACATCTGGCGCACTTAGTTCCTATACATCAACTCCTATCCTCTAAAATGTTGGGTTGGCGTCAGCAGCTGGCCACTGTGACTGCAGCGTGTGGTCCTGCAGTGCAGAGTCTCCGGTCTACTACTTGGTTTAACTGAATAAAAAGGTTACTCCCGGATTTATTCATTCCTGGTGTTCAGCTAAAGTGCCAAGAATGAAATAAAATATTTGGGGCTGGTGAAGCGGTTTCCCTGAGGTACTAAATGATTGTGAACATGTCCGTTATCGATCTAAATCTTCTCTGGTGAAACCAAAACAGAAAGAATTTCACGAAATGCCCGGGTGTCGCTGTAAGTTGTCGTACCTGTGGGAGCCGGCTGGCTCGGGGTGGAGTCCACCATAAATAGGTCGGCGAGGGCGGTGCTGGAGGGCTGGGGGGCATCTGGCTGCAATGAGGAACATTTACGAAGAGATCAGTGTCCATGCAAAAATGTGTACATATTAAGTTCCATCGCTTGTGTTCAAACTACTCTCGCTACCTGTTTGGCGGTGGTACTCGGGCTCTTATCTCCCACGTAGTGGGCTGCGGCTCCCAGGTCCACAACCTTAGACGGGACCCCTCTCTTCCGCGTGGCTGTAGTCTCTGTTGCTTGGACTATGTGTACGCTCTTGGTGGTAACGGTTTCCTCTTCGTCTTTGAAGTCTTTTCCCGACTGGCCATTGTGAGACGAGCGGCCCCGGTCCTCCTCGTTGTCACTATGGAAACAATAACGATCAAGGTTCAGGATACGGATTTTCTTTCTCTCTCCATACAGGAACCAAGATACAAACCATGTTCTGGATGCGGCCCTAGTTATCTACAGCATGCGCTCATGGAAAGCTGTTATCGATTACTTTATTCCTGTCTGTGTGGATATTAATGGCCCGATCACTATTTATTATATATAGGTATATATACACAGGTATATTAACAATGTATTTGGAAGGTTTGACTTGTGTCTTGAATGTGAAAATAAAGTTCCATTGAAAGCAGTGCTTAGAGAACAGATTGAGACTAAAACCAAGCCTACTATATTGTGCCTCAGCTGCACTTGGAAACAAACACAGTTCAGGTAATCTAGCCGTCTCACACCTAATTCGATCCGGCGAGTCGTCTCTTTCCTTCTTCCTAAATCTGCTTATGGTGTCGTCGATGGTGCTGCCAATTTTGTCGCTGATCTCCCCCAGTTTCTCGCTGAAGGGGAACTGTCCTTTATTCCTCTCCCAGTCGTCGTCCCACTTTCCCCGGCTGTCATTGGAGTCGTACTTGTCCCCCGCTGGAGAGACGGTAATCAAATAGGCGATAAAAGCAAGAGAAAGAGGACAGGATATAAAGCTTTTGTTGATCATAGGTCCGCTTACATTACTCGACTGAAAACTTACAGTATCGGTATCCCATGCTGTCTGAGGACACCCCGATGTATTTGTCCCTGTTCTTCTTTGACTTTTTCCGTTCTTCTCTTAGCCGATCGTCATCCTGGGCAAAATCCACCATCTCCTTTACCTTCTGACGGACATTCACACCTTGGTCCTTCCCATTCTCGTCTAGAGGCACACAAACATTGAGAACAAATAAAGAATGAGCACAATTTGTGTGGTTTTAATACGTTGAAGTGCTAACAGAGACATTAAAAAAACAGTAATTAATGTCCTCAAATACACACATGTTTGGGAAGAGTGAAAGCAGCTTTAAGCCTGTGTGTGTGTGTGTGTGTGTGTGTGTGTGTGTGTGTGTGTGTGTGTGTGTGTGTGTGTGTGTGTGTCTGTGCGTGTGCGTGTGTTGAAGCGGTTTTGTGGACTAAGCAGTGCTTAGGGCCTTTATCCATTTATTAAAGCTCACACAGAAGCTATTGTTAATGAACACTAAACTCTACAATGCCGAGGGGTGGCCAGTAGAACTGCAAAACAAAGAAACATTTTTAAAAGCAGAGTTGTTTTTTTTTAATGGAGATCAAATCTTTTTGGGTCCAACATGAAGAGCAAATGATGCAATGTAAAAAGAGGAATAACACAAAATAATAATCTTACCTACAAAGTGGTAGCTTTCTAACGATCTAAGGTCATACAGGTGTTCTCTGGTGCTGGTAACAACCCTCTCGGATCCATTCCTGATGAGATGAGCCAGCAGCAGCAGGGACTGAGAAACAGACGGACAGAAACAAAGTGTCAACTCAGGCCTCTGAAATAATTCAGTTATGCAAATGATTTATTTCACAACCCTAAATTCATAGCGTGTTTAACTGTGTGAAAGAAAGACATTATTCCTGCCCGGAAGTAATATGTTGAACATTTGACTTAAAGTCAACAGAACGGTTCTCTGGTTCAAAGTTTTAGGTCAATTCAAAACAGGATCTGTTGCTTAGAGTCACAATCCCGCGTGTCTGTTAGTGGGACGTCGCAGCAGCGCCGGGGCCGACCTTGTAGACTCTCCGCCAGTTCTTCTTGTTATCCCTCAGCATGCGGGTCCACAGCATATTCATCACCTCTGGGAACTGCTCATACATGAAGGTGGCTCTGATTACATAAACATGGAAGACAAGGAGGGAGACATTGCATTTTTAGTGAAAATGCATGAATGACAAATGACAGTTTGAATGGTGAAGACGGTTTACAGCGTTTGAGTGAAGACGGCTTTGTACTCTGTTGCCCAACAAACTAAACGAACCATTTTATGAGCGGGACATCTGTGTATCACTGCAAGGTTTGCACAATAAACAAATAAAAGAACTAAAAGTGACATCCATTCATGTTTCACAAGACAGAAACACTGTCAATTATAGCTCAGGTTGTTGTCTTGTAATCAACTAATACAGATATTTCTGAATAAATGTGGGCAAAGAGATCTCCTCAGTGTTTGGTCTTTGGTATGTATCCACAAAAGAAATCTGCTTTAGTGTGTATCAACAATTACAAGTCAGTCTAGTTTCACACGCCTCTAGTCAGCTGCATAATCAGGATTTAAATATCAACGACGACAGAAAGGGTATTGATTGAAAGTACTGATTGCAGCCATTTGAATGAATGCTGGTCATTCTGCAGCAGTTGTGAGGCTCGTGTGCAGAACTGACTACTGTCGCTTCTGGCCGGCAGAAAAATACCACCATGGAAACGGGGACTTGTGGTCAGATGTCAAAAGCCAAAGCTTATATTGGGTTCCTGTGGTTGAAATGGAGAGGAAATTCCTAAAAACTGTTCTTGCCGTAAGAAAGAGCTTTAAAAGAACGTTATGCCCAAAATGACGATCTACGTATCAACTATTCAAACCCTAGATGCCTAAATTCAGGAAGAAAAACTTTTCTCTCAACCCTCTACGGTGAAAAAAAGAACACAAAAAGAGACAAAAGTCTCAGATTGAATTGAAGTAAATACAATCAAAGCATTATTTGTCCAGTAATAGGACCACTACTCTCCAAACAGATTTATACATAAGACCTGTATTGTAGTGCAGCAGTTCTGTGAGAGTTATTGTATTGACAAATTTTTGCTGTGGTTAAATGTGGCCTCCGTGTACAGTAGCGTCGAGAGCGAAAAGTGGCAGGTGGCAGGTTCCCTTTTGGAGTAGGACACAAACCGTTCTCAGTTGGTATGCAGCAGCCCGCCTCCTCTTCCTCATGGAAATTCCATGTAAAGGAGTATCTTCACAGCCATGGGTTTGCCGTAAATGTTTTTTTCTAACTTTATTGAGAATCTGGCCCAACACAGCGTAGCACAGCGTCTTAAATAAAGTGATGTATGTCTAGAAATGAAGGTAACAGGATTTTGTATTTGCTCATCAAGCCTGAAACGGGTCATTTGGCAATTTCATTAAGCGGTCACTGGAAAATGGGTTCTCATTTTATTTGTTTAAGTTATACAGGATGCGCGGTCGAACATATGTCCCTCTCTATTTTTTATGCCGTGCCCAGCTGAGATGGCTTTGTGCCATTCTGAAAAGGGAACCTGCCAGCTGCCACTTCTTGCTCTCGGCGTCACTCCCCATTTATTTCAATAAAAAACGCTTTGTTCATAGGTGAGGCATGCGAGACAAATTCAAGGTGACAGAGGTTGTGTACGTGTACAAAGGGAATGGTTCTTTCCAGAACATATTTCTGTGTTTTGGATTGTATGACCAGATAACCTTGGTGCTTTTCGGCAGGAAATATCGTACCACACTTCGGGCCGTCCTCACCTGGAGATTTCACTCATCAGCTGTCCCGACGGTCCCCATGGGTCATCATTGGTGGCCTCTCTGACTTTGGACTCCACCTCGGAGTAGTTCATCACCACGTTGGTTCTGTGCAGTATCAAGAAAGAGAAACGTCACGTCATTGATCGTGCATGTGTTGAGTATTCTGCATGGCTGTTCGCCTTTCAGTGTGAAATATGTGTCATGCCAGTTAACCACAACACGGACAACAGCGGGTGAAAGGTTCTCTTATAAGAGCCGCGGCCCTGGACTTAATCAGAAACAAGACAATGGTGAGGGCTAATAAATACATGAATGGTGGAACAGTAAAACAGGGCTCTGTTTGTTGGGGCTCTCTTGCTTGTTGACATTCCAAGTAACTAGGAAATTAAAGGGGAACTTAAATAGGAGGAAACTGACGCTATAAATGACGCTCTGTCATGAAAAGGTGAAGAACATAGGATTTCACAGGCAGAGTATTCGAGAAAGACAAATGATGGGATATACATTACATTACATTACAGGTCATTTAGCAGACGCTTTTATCCAAAGCGACTTACATTACACTTTCAACCCATGGCCTTTTCACATTTTTGCCTGGGGAGCAATTAGGGGTTAGGTGTCTTGCTCAGGGACACTTCGACATGGAACATGGGGCAGCCTGGAATCGAACCACCAACCTTGTGCTTCCCAGCACACCTTCTCTAACCCCTGCGCCACGACGACCCCCGATATATACTGAATTGTTCTTTATAGATCAGCTTTGTTTTTTTTAGCTAGACCGGGATGCCTTTTTAGAGGTCGTTCTGAATCCCAATTGGGCACTTTATGATTTGTGAAAGAGAGTAGATTTATATGTTATTTGATCGTTTTTTAAGTAATGAACGGCTAAATATGAGCTCTGCAGGGGAAGCAGTGTATTGAATGCATTGACCGAAGACTATGTGCAGCATATAGTTAAAGCATTCTCCACAGCTAGTGGCACAGATGCAGTCAATTTCTACCAGTTTCTTTAATCGGAATAGATTCTTACAGGAGTACAGATATAAAAGCCACAAAGAAAACTGCCAAATAATTTTGTAAACACTGCAGCTTAAACCCAAAACATTGTGAGTCAAAACATTTGATCCCTCCTTTCTCACTACAGCCACGACAGCAAAATAATGTACGGGGCCCGAGAGAGCAGCATTGAACTGATGGGTGGAGATAAACACCCGCTCTGTGGTTTTAGAGAAGGGCTGTATAATACTGAAAGAATCATGGTATGGTTACCACTTCGACCACATTCCCTCCATTGCAAAATTATGTTTACGACAAAGAAATGACTCGAGAGAACTGTGCTCGCTGTTTTTAGACGACAAAGACAGTATTTTAAAGTAACTTTATTTAAAAGGGACTTGGAGAGACATGAAAGTATGATTCTGTATCCAACTTAAGTCTCATGGCATTGTTCTTCATATTAAACACTTAGCAGTGTTTTAGTGTAAATCATGTTGTTCAGGTTGCATTTAGTTTTGACGAGTCTTTCTGCTTACATTGTGTGCCGTGTTACTCACTGCATGCGGCATTGGTCTCTCGCTACGTTACAGCCTGTTACTGTGCGAAGCTACATGTTTGCATGAACGACAGAAAAAAGACAAGAGGATACGATGTAATAACGCAACTTCTAATCTCTTTCTAGTTATCGGCCCTGTCCTAGATATCAGCCGGATAGAACAGAAGTTGTGATGCGCTCTCAAGTGACACACCATCACACAGATTTCCGTTAGACTGCTGTAGGACTGTATGTAAATTTACAACAAGAAAAAATTCCCGTGGTAGTATTTATTAATCCAATCCAATCTTTTTCTATGTTGCTTGGATTCATTGAAAGGCCTACTTACAGCAGGACAAAAGCCTTTGCTTGCATGTCCCGCCTCAGCAAAAGCCTCACCACAACCATGCATCAGGCTGCAGTATGCCACACTAATAGTGTCAATGACTCCCAGCTCGTTGACACCGGACGAAAAATAATCTAGAATTTGTGAAAATACTAAAGAAGGGACAGTTTCTAAATGTTACAAAACACATGGTCTTTTTATCCTTTGATTTAAAAAAGAAGAAGAAAAATTTGCTCCCTTTCTGTGTCTCTTCCAGTAACTTAAGTTCCACGAGGTCACACTGCGGGGAGACGAGGGTGTCCAGCAGGAATGTCTTCTTGGACGGACTCAACGACTCCCTGGGTCTGCAATAGCAGCCGTTCAAACTTCGAAGGACAGAAATGTTGTTCAATGTAAGAAAAGGGTGTATAATTATACTACTGTGGCACAGGAGGGCATGCTTGGGTTTAGTCAGCGACTAAAAGTAAACCAGAGTTCAACGAAGAACAAAAGGCAAAGTATTGCCCAAGTTCAGGCCCAGCGGCCATCTACTTCCAGGTGCTGCAGTACGTCTGTTATCCACGCAGGCTCGGCCGTCAAGGCCATCAAAATATGACTCATTATAAGTGCACATGCTCTGCGGATTCGCACTGTGCACATCGTCGTAACAGTCTGTATATTTTGCCTGACGATCTCCATCTTGGCTGCTGTGTTGGTCTCAGATCATCAAGTGACGTTATGTTGGAATTTGGACATCCAGCAACAAGTTGCAAAACACTGCAGGATCACTGGTCACTGATTAATAAATGCTCCTTCTGTTTTCACGCGTAACAACATGCGAGTTAGTGGTGCGACAGACGGATTGGACGGGGTTTAGTTTAGTTAGTTGTTGCATCAGTCGTGTGGAGAAACCGCGACGAAAAAGCTGTAAACTCAAGTGAACTCAGGAGTTTATACGTTCAACGTTAACTTGACACAACTTCCACATATTGCTAGTTCCACTACAAAGCTAACGATGTGTCTGTGATAAAAGATAGTAAACCAGCCATGTGGCTTTACTTCGAGTTTAACAAGTTACTTAGATAATCTACAGTGACTGCTACAGTAACATTGGCGTAAGCCTAAACGGTGTAGACTTAACAGTTAGCTACAAGTGTCATCACATTCATACCAGAGAGTAACGCATGTCTGTACTCAATGGAGCTTTACAAGTTTTTTCCTGACGAAAGGATTGTTTGTATTGTCGTTTAAACATGTATCGTAGACTCGATCGAAAGCTCCCGCTGACTAACTCAACCGGGGCGCTGTCAAACTAGCTTTACTGGCTAGCCTGGCGGGTTGGCCACCTAGCCAGCAGGCTCGATAATTAGCTAGCTTGTCGGCTAAGTGAGTTAGCTTTCACTGTCGGTCAAAATGCGTAAACAAACAGAAAAAGTGACCTCGCAACAGTTCAAATGACATCCCACATTAACCGGAAGACAAGGGGAGAACGACATTGACAAAGAAAGAACAATCGTACTCAGGACAAATACAATTTGTCAAAGTCAGCTAGCTAACTCATTCACTTGCTAGTAGCATACATGCTAGCTAACTTGTTCGAGCGACGTGACGTCAAAGTTTTGGGTACGTGTCTCTTTGAAACAGGTAAACTACAGGAACACACGACACGACATAGACCGAACGCAGTCGGGAGATACTTACGCTTTGTCAACCAACTCCCTGACCTTCCACATGTTCAGCATCTTGGCTCCGTGAAATGGGCTTTCTGCCTCGACAAAACCCTAAACTCCACACGAACGCCGCAGCCCTGAACTCTGTAAAGTAAACTCTTCTTCACCTCTCTCTCGAGACGCACCAACAGGCAGGAAAAGGTTACTGCGGGAAATCACCGTGTGACGTCATCGGAGTCGTTGGAGTTGTAGTTCCTGATTATCGCTCGCGCCTCAGTTGTGCGCTGAGTACACGTTTAAATGCTAACTAATACTTGTCTTTAAATATATATGTATATAAAATAAAGACAAAACCATTTCTCCAAGGAAGGATTAAAACAAAGAGACCCCGTGCAATACCAAGGACCCTTGGGGGTTCACACAAATGTACAACAAAAAAGGACAATAGCTCCACTATAAAAATCCTAATTTAATAGATTATGCCATTGGCCCTGGTTTCAAAAAAGTAGTCCAACAACCTTGCCTGGGGCAAGCAAATCAAAATGCGGTTTTGTTTAGGTAGCTTGTGGTTTCGATTCATGTTGGTGATGCATGAGGTGATTTTTTTTATCTAGCTATGTTCAAGAAATGGTAATTACATTACATCGTTTTTCATCAGAGGACTGATACATTTATGCTTTAAGTGTTAAGTTCTTTATAAAACCAAAACCAAGACATTTAAATGGATCTTCACATATGTGTGGTATGTGTTTGTATGTATTAAAACATTGTAACAGTATTACTGTCGTTAAATGTATTCTCAATTTATTCTTTGTTTGTATTTCTAAGCAATATCCCTTGGACTTTGTGTCCAAACGGGTTGCTGCATCGCCAAAACTAAAGCCTACATCGTTGTGTGCAGGTCACCACCCCGTGTGTTCTCCATCCCTCCTCATCTGGCATTCAGGCATGCTACAATGGCCCAGTGATGCTGTGTGACAGGCCAGGCAGGGCACGGCTGTTTGTGTCAATCCAGATCAATCACTCCCTCTTCTGGACGGACAACGTCATAGACACGCAGAAAGGTCACTGGGTGTACTCAAGCCAGGCCCGACGTGGTGAGCAGGGAGGTCAGCGTAGCGAGGGAGCACCCTCGACTGACTGAGCACCATCTCAAATAGACACAGTCGATATCGACTGGTAGTAGTCTTTTTTTTTTTTAAATTCTCCCGTGACTTGGGCGTATACAAAAAGTATTAAGCCTGTTTGTCGTATTGATTGATATTCCAGTGGGCAAAATAAGCCCTCGGATGCCCTACTCTCTATTCTCTAATGATACGTGTAAATATGGCCCACGGCTTACACTTCCATAGGAGAGCAGGAAGAAACAACACAATAGCCAAAATACAACCCATTTGAGAAAAAACAAAACAAGAAACAGCACTTAACAGCCCAGAATGCACTGCACCCCGGGGAGCAACCTCAATTACTGTTACACGTCCGAAAAGGAGAACTCCAGGAAAAGTGATTGCCAGGATGGAAATGGCTCTGTGTGTGTTTGTGCATGTGTGAGTGTGTTTTTGTGTGAGTGTGTGGTTCGGAGGACGAATAGAAAGGCACTCAGTAAAAAGATCTTTCAGGAACACTTTGCCTCGGTGACGTTGATGCGAGCTGTTGATTGACATGCACTTCTCGACAGAAACCAGAGCTATCAACCTATCTGCCACACATTAAGAATGGCATGGTCCTCGCGGGAGGGGCCTAAGTGGTAAATGATGTTGCTCAAGACACTCTCTGTCAACAGTGTGTGTGTGTGTGTGTGTGTGTGTGAGCGCTGACGATGGCAAAGTATTCAATCAAATCTTTGATTGAAAAACTCATATGTCCTTAAAGATCAGAAATCTGCGCACTGATGTATCGGATGCATGTGTGTGTGTGTGGGGGGGGGGATGCATTCAGGGATGAGTCTGTGTGTTATGAAATGTGTAGATTGCATTTTAGGGGGGAAATTGAGTAAGCAGAAGGCTTAATTGCAGACAGCTAAGGTCAAACAATATCTATGCAGTTAGATTGTGGGTTAGGGTTAACTAACTGTCAATTTAAAGAAAGAGAGAGCAGTAAAATCACCCTCTGCAAAAAAAAAAACTTGTAGACCCACTTTCTCTCGTTAGATACGGAGAAAAAAAAGTCATCCTTTCCTTGATATTTCATTTTTTATAACCATGTTCCATTCATCATCTTGATCGTCAGTTCGGTCTACAGAGACCAAGTTGTCACTAACAACTTCTGAGTGGAAGGAAATGGAAAAAAGTAAGCCGGATAAACAGAATGTAATTGTGTCACAAAGCAGCACTAGGGGGCACTGCGACTGTTCCGGAGCCGGAGACCGCCGCAGTGCCGCACAGAGGGCGCGTTTGCTGGGAGATCTGTGGGTGTGTGCAGCGCAACCGCTGTGGGGGTCGAGGCTGTGTGTTTACATGGCTGAAGTTCCCATGACAGATGTGGTCAGAACATCATCGCAACTTGGGAATGTGCTCGACGACTCCGCTATTATTCTTCCCCGCCCCCCGCAAACATGTGCTTCCAATCTGTTGAAACTCTCTCTGCATTTGTACAATGTCGTTCGAAAAACAACGTGCTTTGTTTTGCAGGTTAACTATGAATCGATGACCCCCGCCCATCTTCGTGCCCACGAAAAGAGGTTCTGATCTGCGGAGTCACGTTCATGGGGCCCAGCTTCCCTCCCTGTCACAGCCAGGGTTTCTTTTCGCCGCTGTTATATTTCAGGCTGTTATTGTTGGCCCTCTTGCAGCCCCGGTAAGATCTTTAGACTTTTTCCCAAGCGATATAACCCCCACACACACATCACACAGTATCTGACCCCTGTCTCCTTGACACATGACAGGTCCACTGCGGTGCGTGTGTGTGGCCAATGTGAGCAAGGACTGACGTGTGAGTATGTGTGTGTGTGTGTGTGTGTGTGTGTGTGTGTGTGTGGAGGCTTTCGTGTAAATGTGTGGTAAACATGCACGGAGCACATCTTTGAGAGTATGTAGGTATTGAATTATGCTAAAACAATGATGCCACTTGTCACACGTTCAAAGTCACGCAGACAACCCGCTGTGATCTCAAAACCACAAACACAGATGTTCCTAATGGGGGTAAAGTAGCATTCACATTCCTGTGGATAACCAGTCTGTTTATTGTTCTCTCTAAACTCGACTGGATTGCTACTTTTCCTGGTGAGAAAAAGGACAGAGGATGATAGGAAAAAAAAAAAAAACACAAACGAGGAGGCTGATGAGAGAGGCTCCCACCGCAGTTTGCAGCTCCCAAGCCCCAAGCCCGGCAAACATCAGCGGCCGTGATTTAAGGGTGACAGTAATTCAATGCATAATGGAAGTTGAGCGAGTGTGCGATTACTCTGAAAGTTAAAACTGCTGTTTGCGTATTGCCCTACATGAGCAAAGGAGCTCGGCGCGATTGTGAAGGCTTATGTTTATGAGTCAGGGTGTTACAGTAAATCCTGCTGCTTCATATATGGGCCAGAAAGCCCACGTACATGCAGAGAAACCCACACAGGTATGCTCAAGTCCTGAGAGCATCTGCTGCTTTACAACCAAATCGAGTTAGCAATTACAGCGAGTAAAAAACAGAACAAAACATCTGGAGCTGTTAGCAGCAGAGGTTATAAATCTGAGAGAAGGAGGAGGAAGGGGGGTATGAAAATGAGCCAAAGTGAGATTCTCAAGGACAGTGTCTCCGATTGGTCCATTAACATGCCAGGGGTGTCAAAAAGGACCCGAGGCTATGGGAGAAATGGGATGGAGCAGAGGGCTTTAGAGGACATATGGAACACCAGTGAATGGAGAGGTGGAGAGTACAGCGGCGAGCGTGGCAGAGGTTCCAGTGACATATTGTAGGGAAGTAAAATGCAGTCAGTATTGGAAAAGATAACACAACTGAGGAGATACGTGGATGTTTGTTTGTTTCTTCAACCTCCACACAGGAAATTACCCTGATAAGCGGAGGGAAAAACGTGGAAAAGCTGAAAGGAAGTTGTGCAAAAAGACCCGGAGCTGTGTGGACAAATATCGCAACATTGCCAAGCCGTAATTCTGCATGTTTGGACACGGAACATGTTTCAAGTAAACGTGAGGCTGGGTTTTCACGAATGCATTTTAACGATTAGTTTGGTTTAAATCCATATAAATGTGGGGTTGCAAAGCCGCAGCACCATTACCACATCTGTTTTTGCTGTTATTGGCACAATAAATTACGTAGGCAATTTGTTTGCGCCGTTGTTAGAGTAATAGAATCAAATTATCCCATGTTAGGGAAATGATTATGTACGAAGCAGAACCTATCAGGGATTCACAAGGCAATCAGTGAAGTAAGAGAGAGCTGAAATGTTGGCGCTCTGCACATCAACCGTTCCAGGTCCACTACGTCATCAGAAAGAACTTTCTCAACCGTGGACAGGAGATAATTGTACCTGCAGTAGGCTGTTTTCCACCAACTAATCTGGCAATGCCAAGAGTGCCAAGTCAGTGTAGAGAAACAGTGGCCTGCTGTTGTAGCTCCGCGGAACACCATCAATCCAGCGGAGCCGTGTGAAACAGCACAGAGTGAGAGTCATAATTGAAAGAGCCTGACACAAGCGGAAATGTTCGGAACGAAGGACAATATCAAATGAGTCTCATCAATTAAAAGTCAGTTTACATTCCCACTCCAAGGCCAGACACCGGGTGGGTGTTTCAAATAGGTCAAGGTTGGAGGGAAAACAAAAGTTAGTCGATTAGCAGTCGAGGTGCAGCGTTCCGGCTTTGTATGCTAATCTGGCAGATCATCATATCGTGTAGGCACTGCCTGCGATTCTACATCTGCACGCACTCATTTAATTATCCAAACACAATTCACAAAAGTCACTGGAAACAAACTAAACCAAAATAAAATAATTTGCATATATTTAAAAAGAGCAGATAAAGTCCCTCGGGGTTGGTTAATATTTCAGAGGCATAATAATAATATGCTAAATCATTCACATTTTATCCTGCACCAAAACAAAGTGGCTTTGTCGATGTAATTAGGGTGTTTTAGAGTTGAATCACCCTGGCAAATGACCATGTTTTTCTCTCTCTCTCTCACATTCTGTGTGTGAATGTATCTGAGCCTCCCTCTCTCTCTCTCCCCCTATATATACGTGTATGTGTGCGTGTGTGTTTGCCTGTGTGTGAGCTGGTGTTGTATTGTCACCGGTCCTCCATGTGCACGCAA